CATCATCTTCTGAAACATCATCATAACAATCCAATTCCTGAATTTCCTGGTGAATTTCTTATGACTCCATTTCGTTCAGAATCAGTGGACCAAATCTCTAATGTTTAGCCTAGGGGGGGCCTTATTTTTGGGGGGATGCCTTATATTTCACTCAGAAGGAAACCTGTAAGTAGGTCTTATTTTCGGAGGATGTCTTATTTTCGGGGAAACACGGTAGTATGCTGTCAGATGGTTACTAGACTTATCAGGCAGATTATTTCGTAAATTATATAAATATTTAACCACTATGCTGTATACCTGAAACTAATCCTATCTAATAAAAGAGTAATATGCAATTAACCATCACTTCATTACAAATATGGAGGCACCCATAGCCACAAGATGGCAGCGCCCAGTCCCTTCAGCCCCCCTGCTGGAGTGTTTGGGCCTGTCTGCCTGGCCAAGTGGAGAGGCAGGATCCGCCCACTCCGATAGAGGATCAAGCCTCACTGCTCTGCCGCTTCTGGAGTGTCTGGGGCTGAGCAGAGAAGCTGGAATGTTTGGGCCTGTTGGCCAGGCCAGGGGTCACGGGGACTAAGCAGGGAGGGCAGTTTGGGGGAACCACGCCATCAGGGGAGGGAAGTTGGGGGAACCACGCCATCAGGGGAGGACAGTTGGAGGCTCTCAAGCCTGCAGGGGATGGTGGGAGGGAACCAGGCCTGCAGGGGATGGTAGTTGGGGGGTAAGGGAGGGAACCAGGCCTGCAGGGGATGGTAGTTGGGGGGGGACCAGGCCTGCAGGGGAAGGCAGTTGGGGGCTATCATGTCTGCAGGGGAAGGGAAGTTTGGGAGAACTAGGACAGCAGGGGAGGGCAGTTGAGGGTGACCAGGCCAGCAGGGAGGACAGTTAGGAGCAACCAGGTTGGCAAGGGAGGGCAGTTAGGGGTTACCAGGCTGGCAGGGGAGGGCAGTTAGGGGTAATCGAGACGGCAGAGGAGCAATAGGCGTTGATCAGGCTAGCAGGGGAGTGGTTAGGGAGTGATCAGGCTGGCAGGCAGAAGTGATTTGGGGCAATCAGGCAGGCAGGCAGGCAGGCGAGTGGTTGGGAACCAGCAGTCCTATATTGTGAGAGTGATCCCAGATTGAAGAGGGTGCAGGCTGGGCTGAGGGACAACCCCCAACCCCATGCACGGATTTTGTACACCGGGACTGTAGGACAAAATAATATTGAATGTAAAGTGTGATAATAAAAAAAAATGCCACCTAGCCATCATGGCTCAGAGGTTGAGCGTCAATCTATGAACCAGGAGATAGTGGTTCGATTCCAGGTCAGGGCACATGCCTAAATATCAGTCTCAATCCTCAGTAGGAGGTGTGCAGGAGGTAGCCAATCAATGATTCTCATCATTGATGTTTTTATCCCTCACTCTGTCTCCCTTCCTCTCTGATTTTCTTTCAAAGGAATACATAGTATACCCTAAGATACAACTGCATATATGTTTTTTTAAATATTATAAGTCACAAGTAACATAATCATGTTCATAGGCTTAAAAATCTTACAATACAAAAATCAATTAGTGGGTTTGGAGTCTCATTTTGCCCTGGCCGATGTGACTCAGTTGGTTGTGTTGTCCCTTGCATTAAAAGGTCACTGGTTTGATTCCTGTGAATGGGCAAGTTGCAGGCTCAATCCCCAGTAAGGTGTGTGCAGGAGACAGCGATTGATTTTTCTCGCTCCCTTTCCCTTCCTCTCTCTAAAATCAACAAAAACATATTTTTTAAAAAAGGACTGCGCTGCTGATACCAGTTTGGCTCAGTGGATAGAGCGTCGGTCTGTGGACTGAAGGGTCCCAGGTTCGATTCCGGTCAAGGACATGTACATTGGTTGCGGGCACATCCCCGGTGGGGGGGAGAGGGTGCAGGAGGCAGCTGGTCGATGTTTCTGTCATCAACGTTTCTAGCTCTCTATCCTTCTCCCTTCTTCTCTGTGAAAAGTCAATAAAATATATATTTTTTTTTAAAAAAGAAAGAAAAGAAAGGACTGCACTAGCTGGTTTGGCTAAGTAGATAGAGCATATGCCTTCAACTAGAGTCCCGGGTGTTATCTCGAAACCAGCCGGGTGTTATTTCTGTCTTTTCCTCTCTTTCCCTTCTCTGTAAAAATCAATGGAAAAATATTTTCAGGTGAGAATTAAAAGAAAGAAAGAAAAGACTCATTTTGGTCATACAATCTCAGAATTTTTTTTAAATTTCCATAACTTTTATATGTTTATTCAATAATGTACCAAGTTCCAAAAAAATAATAATATAGAAGTTTCATATTTCAAAGGCTTGAATTTGGATCTCATTCTGTTTTAAACTGGATTTTTAAGTGCTAAGTAGAAGGGGCCAAGAAGTGGAAAGGGACCAAAAATGCATTATTAAGATGAATTGAACAGTTACTTGTGTGTTTTTTGTGGACCTCGGGTGCTCCAGGTGTATTGATCATAATTCAATGTTCATGCTATACCTTTGTCACTAATTCATGCATTTTGTTACTTGTTTAATGGTATAATGAGCCTGGGTATTCTCATACTGTTTTATGCAAAATTGAAACCATATTGTTTTTGTATCCACCATAATATGCCACCAGGAGAACTAATGCTGTTTTTAAAACCTAACAATGAGCAGTTTTCCATAGCATAAAAGTAGAGGACTACAACACCATTTTAATGTCTGTCTGGTATTTCTGCGTCCTATCTCATGGACCATAATTTATTTAACCAATCCTGTCCCATATTGGGGTATATTTGTTGACAGTGCATTGCTATCAATAGTAAAACAAGTGTGGGTCCGATTATACAGATGAAACGCCCTGAAAGCAGGCCTTGGTGGCCAGAGATAAATACGGTCTAGCAGTCTAGAGACCTGGAGCCTGACCGAAGGGCTGGCCACACCCTCGCCCTCCCAGGGAGAGTGAGGCCCAGAAGGAAAGGCGGGGGGGGGGGATTATTAGCCCTCGCTCCCCCACCACCACCCCCTATATATCCGCCTCGCGCGAGACCACCCACCAGCCAAGAGTGGTCGCAGGAGAACTCTAAACTCGGGACAGCTCGAAGCACTTTTTTTTTTTTTAATTGTCTAAAGTTTTACATATGTGCCCTTTCCTCCTGCTTGACACCGCCCACACACACTCCCCCGCTCCCACCCCGCACCCTCACCCCCCACCCCCAAGCACGGGGAGTGCGGGCCAGGGATGCCGAGGTGCAGCCTGAACGCCGGACGTTGGCGCCCGGCACAGCGAAGTCACTCGAGCCATGTCCCCCGCCCCCGAGGCTGGGCGCGATCCCGAGACCTGGCAAATCCGCGCCTTGGACTCAAACAAACCCGGAGGTCACTTGGGTCACTAACAAACCCGGAGGAGAGGGTAGGGAGCGGAGCTCTTGCACACCCTAGCTAGGTGGTCGGGGACAGAGAGGAAGGCAAGGACAGGTCTAGGGAAAGTTTGCCGATCCTGGAGGGCCAAGGGGGTGTCTAAGCCAGGGGAATTGACGGAACCTGACAGCCAGTAGAGCTACCGATGTGTTGGGGAGCGTCTACAAAGAGCGCGGAGGGAAGCCAGGGCTCGTCTAAAAAGTTATCAGAGCGGCTGAGGGGAGGTCTAGAAAGGGCGTTCCCCACGAGAACAAGGCTTCCGGAAGCTAAACCCGGAAAAGAGGTATGGAGTCCTGGGTCTCCCACCAGTGATCTAACACCCTTTAGGGCCGACACCCCTGAGTAGGGCGACTGAAGCTTCAACCAACGACAAGAGGAAGGCTGGAGCCGGATGGGACGAGGGGGCGGGGGAGAGGGGGAAGAGAGAGGAGGCCCTCAGAGATCATCTGAAAAGTGCAAAGCCACACGAATTTTAGGGGCCGACATCAAATTGTATTCCCTGCTAAGACACCTCTCGGTAGCGAACCACCGACGTCTTTGGTAAGCTCCACCCCTCACCTATTAATTGTGGTTCCGCCGTTTCGGATACAGGAAACGACCGGTCCCCGACTTACTCCTCCCAACAAGTAGCGAACGTCCTTCCTCCGTCGCGCGCAGTCTCCTCCCCCTCACGCCCCACGCACTTTCTCCCGCCCATCTGTCAATCACCGGGCTCAGCTGTCCAGTTAGCGGGCCAAGGAGGCGGGGCCGTCAGGGGCGTCGCGTGACGTCAGCAGTCCGCGGACCGGGACCGGGAGATGAGTGACGGAGGGGGCGCGTGACGGAGGAGCGGTTGGCCAGCGCTGTGGCGGCAGTCGGGGTAAACAAGACCTGGCGCCCTGCGGCTCCTGCGACCGCTTTTGGCTGGTGGGTGGTCTCGCGCGAGGCGGTAACCGCCGGCTTCAGTGGGAGGGGCTTCTCAGCCTCTTCCCTGTCTCCTCGGCGTACACACCACCACCACCCCCCACCATTCCACCCCCCCATCCCCACCCCTCGCACACACGTGGGCGTGAGACTGGGGAGGGGGGAGTGTTAGGCTGAATTCTAACGTCATTGGTTGTCGCTGCTGCCGACTTTCACAAGGAAGCGCTCTGATTGGTCGGTAAGGGGGGCGTCGGGGGTCTCTGAGTCCATAGGCTTCTGATTGGCTAGAGGAGATAAGCTAATGAGGCGCGTTCTTCCGCAAGGGGTTGTGATTGGTCTGCCAGAGAGGTTACCTGGGAATCCACCCCCGCCTGGGACTTTGATAGGTGAGTTTGAGGTAGAAAACTGAGAAATTCCTCTTCACAAGGATTCTCATTGGTGAGCCAGGGGTAGTGCCCTAGGCTTCTCTCTTCTTTTTTTGGCTTCCCAAGATTGGGGAAGCTTTGTGTTCCTGAGGCGTGGGGAGTTGTCACAGGCGAAAGAAAAAGGGATCTCCTCGGTCCCTAAGAACTGTCGCCCTCCTAGAGATAGCTAACCCTATCTCAGGAGACCTTAGTATTTCTAGAGCAGGCTTTGCTTTCACCAAACCTAAGGAGGTGACAGGAGGAGTCCCTGCACCGGACTTAAGGATGCTGTGACCAGAAGATGGGATCACGGAACAGCAGCAGCGCAGGATCTGGGTCTGGAGACTCCTCCGAGGGCTTGCCCCGAAGAGGGGCTGGTCTGCGTCGGAGTGAGGAAGAGGAAGAGGAGGATGAAGATGTGGATCTGGCCCAGGTACTGGCCTATCTCCTTCGCAGGTAACTTGCCCTCTGGTGTGTCCCCCACCAGGCGCCACCACAGTTCCTTGATCCCAACTCCAGACAGAAAAATAGGGAGTGGGATTAGCACAGTACAGCTGTTCTGTTTGAGCAGAACAGCCTTTTCTGCTGGGCACTGAGCACTGAGCTTCATACCCAGTAAGAGTGATTCTTGCCCAGAGAGGGTCACCAAAATCCCACTCTTGTGTTTTCGGGAATTGTTCAAGGGAGCCTCTCTAGCTATGACTACACAAATGTGATCTATTTTCCAAGTAAATTTTAAAAATAAAATAAAAGGCCCTTTAAAAAATAAAATAAAAAATGGAAAAGGAGTGATATGAGGGGTTGAAGAGTTGAGGAGGTGGGTGTTGAAATTTAGTGAAGTTAATTGCATGAGATATGAGACCATCTGGATTTTCTTGAAAAACAAGTTTAAATTAGCCTACTATAACCCTGCTCTTGAAGAAAGAATACTTTGAGGGAAGTTGGCCACCAAGAATTGACTGGAAAGGGAGTGAAACTAGCTTCATTTCTTAGCTGTGTCTTCTTGAGAAGACAAGTTTGGGGGTCCCTTCAGAATACTGTGTTCTGTACTGGACTACATGGGCAGAGGCTCAGAAGGAAATGCTCTCAGAATTTTTAACTCTCTGGGAAGTTAACCTAATAGGTCTGTCAATCTCCATGTAACGTTGTGGCTCTTTACTCCTGCTGAAAGAATGAGAACAGGAGATTGTAAATAACAGCCAGGATCTAGTCAACCTCTGATCTCAAAATGGGGACAGTATGAGGGTTTGAATACCAGGTGGCCTAAGCACTGGATATCCCCTGACTGAGTTTGGTTGGTTTGGGGAAGGAATCCTTTCCCTTTGTCATGGGGGGTGGGGTGTCTTCACAGGGGCCAAGTGAGGTTGGTGCAGGGAGGAGGTGCAGCAAATTTACAACTCATCCAGGCCCTCTCGGACTCCGAGGAAGAGCATGACAGCGCCTGGGATGGGCGTCTTGGAGACAGATACAACCCACCTGGTAAGAGGAAAGGTGGACCGAGATCCTAACATTAGAAGACTTACATTAGAAAATCTTTTTCCTTCTTTCTTTCTTTTTTGTAGAAGTAAGTCTCTCCTTGCCGAAACCGGTTTGGCTCAGTGGTAGAGCGTCGGTCTGCGGACTGAAAGGTCCCAGGTTCGATTCCAGTCAGGGGCATGTACGTTGGTTGCCTTGGTTGCCTTGGTTGCCGGCACATCCCCGGTGGGGGGTGTGCAGGAGGCGGCTGGTCGGTGTTTCTCTCTCATCGACGTTTCTAGCTCTCTATCTCCCTTCCTCTCTGTAAAAAAATCAATAAAAATATATTTTTTTAAAAAAAGAAGTAAGTCTCTCCTTATCAGTAGTTACTTTATTTATTTTCATCTTAATTCATGGGCCGATGCTCTATCCACTGAGCCAAACCGACCAGGGCAGAAAATCTTTTTTCTTTTTAATTTTGACAAAGAATAATAGGTTAAGTGAAAAGAAGATGACATAATTCAGGGAGTGAGGGGGTCTTTTAAGACTCGGTACATGCAGCCACAAAGGGCTTGACTATAGTTCTGCTAACTGTCCTCCGAGGCTGGAAGACCTAGGATGAAATTTCTCTCTGGTCTTCACAGTGGATGCAACCCCTGACACCCGGGAGCTGGAATGCAATGAGATCAAGACGCAAGTGGAATTGGCCACAGGGCGGCTGGGGCTTAGGCGGGCAGCCCGGGAGCACAGTTTCCCTCAAATGCTGTATAAGGTAGGCCTCTCCATCCCCGCCAGCCTAGCAGCAGGCCTATCAAGGTAGCCAGGAGTGCTGCCGTCCCCAGAGAAGAGGGAATTAAACTTTCCAAAGAAGCCTCAAATGCTGGAGCTGGAGAGTTCTTAGCCAGTCCGCTCCAGAGTTTGGTGGGACATTCTGTATGTGGTGTTCATTTCTGAAACAAGAGCAGCAACTTTGGAGGAGGGGCCTGGTGTGGCTGAAGTGGCCGTGTTTCTGCTAGCAATATTCCCCATCCCTTCCTTTAGAGAGAACGGGGCCTCTGCCACCGGGGAAGCTTCTCCCTTGGAGAACAGTCTCGAGTGATGTCTCAGTGAGTATGGGGCTTGGTGGAGACACTCTAAGGGCCAGATAGGTCTTATCTCCTAAATTTTGAAGGTATAGGTGTTAAAGGATCCTCAGGGATATTAAGGTTAGGTTAAGGGGGGTTAATGCTTTGAGAGTAAACAAAGTGGAAAAGGATGGAAATGAGAGGATGATAGAATAAATGAAAAGGGATTTTACCTAAGGCCAAAAGGGAAGAATGCCCTTGTATTCACGTCCAGGTCGTTAGGATTCTGCTAACTGGGATGCTTCTCATCCCGAACTCCCCTTAACCCTCACTTTCCCTCTGCTTCCCCAGCTTCTTGCCCAATGATCTGGGCTTCACTGATACCTACTCTCAGAAGGCTTTCTGTGGCATCTACAGCAAAGATGGTCAAATCTTCATGTCCGCTTGCCAAGGTACCAGACCCTGCTCCCATGAACTGTCCTTGAACAAGGAATGCTCCCTACAGCTGAGGCTAGAAAGGCCCAGACCCTGACTTAGGGATGCTTAGTCAGAGCACCTTTCTCAGATATACTGATAGAGATCTGATAGGAGGATTTGAGGAGGTTATTCCCTAATTCTGCCTGGTCTCCACTTACACAGACCAGACAATCAGACTGTATGACTGCCGGTATGGCCGCTTTCATAAATTCAAGAGCATCAAGGCCCGGGATGTAGGCTGGAGTGTCTTGGATGTGGCCTTCACCCCTGATGGGAACCATTTCCTGTACTCCAGCTGGTCTGATTACAGTGAGTATGCCCCTGACTTCTGTTGTCTCTCCAGCCCGGGACCTGAGATCTCCAAATGCCCACCTCCTCTGTGCCAGGGCTCTCCATCTTCTCCTGGAAAGATCTCTTCCAGGGTCTCACATCCTGGCCCTTTGTTCCATCTCCTCTCTAGTTTCACTTCTACCTGTCTTCCCCCAGCCCTGAAAGATTCTTGTTTCTCTTGCTTCTCTTAGTTCATATCTGCAACATCTACGGGGAGGGAGACACACACACTGCCCTGGACCTAAGGTACTGGCTCCCCTTCCTGGTCAGACTCTTCAGAAACTTCTCAAAGAAGGCTCTCCAGGAGCAAATCTCTTGAACCGGAACTCCTGCTTAGAGGGAAAAGTACACTGGTTGCTAGTTTCTCTGTGTGGATTCCTGGGAGGGACCCACCCATCCTGACCACAGAGGACCAGGGTAAAATAGATAGTTGCAGGATTATTTCCGGGTTCTCCCTGAGGTGATCCACATTCTGGCTTGTGTTGTCAAGACTACTTTTCCCCTGAGAAGTGTGCCTTACAACCCTCATCGGAGTCTGTGTGGATTAACAAAGGCTGAAGGGAAGTGCACTTACTCAGCTCCTCCTTTGCTCTCTTCAGGCCCGACGAACGTCGCTTTGCTGTCTTCTCCATTGCTGTCTCCTCAGATGGACGAGAAGTGCTAGGAGGGTGAGTATAGGGGATGGTGCTGTCAGTTAATGAGACAGAGTCCTCCCTGAGATCAGGTCTGCTATTACAGAGACTATACTGGATACCCCTACTCAGGCATCTGTGGAGAACAACCAGCCCTTCTCCACGGTCAAGGTTTACAACTCACTTTACCTCTTACTCACCATTCACCCAGAATGAGATCGGAGGTCTCAAACGTTTTTGCACACACAGCTAGCACTCTATCTACCTCCTATATAAGAAAAGACAAGGGTTTGCCCTTTAGCAGGACTTCACAACAGGGACTCTCGGTCCTCTCTCCAGGACCCTCTTTATCCCCTCCTTTTCAGGGCCAATGATGGCTGCCTGTATGTCTTTGATCGAGAACAGAACCGGCGCACCCTTCAGGTACTGCTTCTGAGACTTAGAGTCTCTGCTTCCTGGTCCTTGACTATTAGAAGACGCAGAAAGAAGTCCTAGATATCCTGTTGTCTTTCTCCCCTAGATTGAGTCTCATGAGGATGATGTGAATGCAGTGGCCTTTGCTGACATAAGCTCCCAAATCCTGTTCTCCGGGGGTGACGATGCTATCTGCAAAGTGTGGGATCGACGCACCATGCGGGAGGATGACCCCAAGCCCGTGGGTGCACTGGCCGGACATCAAGATGGCATCACTTTCATTGACAGCAAGGTAGGCAGGGAGGCAGCATGCGAAGCCAGGCTACTAAGGTTCCAGTTGTCCAGGAGAGGATGTCAGTGGACTGGTGTGGAAATTCACCCTAGGTCCTTATTAGCCAAGTTGGCAAGAGCTGGACTTTAGGGAAGGGGCTTAAGCCAGGAAACATGAAATCCATTGGGACTCAACCCTGATGGGTACCAATGGAGCAGGCAGGGCTTTCTGTACAAGAAAAGTAGAAGACAGTTAGTCTAGGATAGAATAGGAGACTCAGCCAGTGCCTAAGTCAGAGAAGCTGAAGCCTAACCAGGGGGTGGGATCTGAGGGAGAAAACTGATGTGAGCCTTCACCGGTTGCTCAGTGGTTAAGCATCTGCCCATTGACTGGAAGGCCTCGGGTGCAGTTCTAGTCAAGGGCACATACCTGGGTTGCAGGCTCTATCCCTATCCCCAGCCCCAGGCAGGATCCATGCAGGAGGCAACCAATTGATGTGCCTCTCTCACATCGATGTTTCTCTCTCTCTGTGTCTCTTCCTCTCCCTTCTACTCTCTCCAAAAATCAATGAAAAAAATATCCTTGGGTGAGGATTAACAACAATAAAAAAGATGTGAGCCCACCTGGATGAGGAAAGAGGCAAGCAAAATCAGAGGACTGGTGTTTTTACCCCTCAACTGGAGAGGGAAGCTGGACTGACACCACCAACATTTGCAAGATCTGACACTTCATCATCTGTTTTGGATTCACAGGGTGATGCCCGGTATCTCATCTCCAACTCCAAAGACCAGACCATCAAGCTCTGGGACATCCGGCGCTTTTCCAGCCGGGAAGGCATGGAAGCCTCACGCCAGGCTGCCACACAGCAAAACTGGGACTACCGCTGGCAGCAGGTGCCCAAAAAAGGTGAGAGGGCTCAGTGGTGCTGTTCAGTAGTTGAACATTGACCCATGAACCAGGAGGTCAAGGTTCAATTCCAGTCAGGGCACATTGCCCAGTTTGCGGGCTCGATCCCCAGTAGGGGGCGTGCAGGAAGCAGCTGATTGATGATTCTCTCTCATTATTGACGTTTCTATCTCTCTCCCGCTCCTTTCCTCTCTCTGAAATCAGTGAAAACATTTTTAAAACATTTTAATAAATACTATTCTTTTTTTAAAAAAAGTGAGAGTGGAAGGTAGAGCCTGAGATTTGGAGAGTGAAGAGTCAGGAGGAGGAGTTAAAATATTTAACCCCTGGAGAGGCCTGTCATGGGCACAGTGAATATGCTCTGGCCTGGAGCATTAACTCGTTGTTTGCTGAACCATGTGCAGAGGTTCCCAGGGTAGGAAGGTTGGGATCACTCAGTACTAACCAATATGATAGTATTTCAGTATCTTAATCAGCAGAAAGCGCAGCTGACTGTTGGTGAATACCAGTTGACTATTAGGTGGGGAAAGAGCCACCAGTTGGGGGTTGGAAAAATGATTGTGAGCATTGATCTTTGCTAAGGATTGGTGATTTGGGAGAATCCAGACTCCTAACCTAGGGCTCTACCTGCACCCCTGCCCAGCCTGGCGAAAGCTGAAGCTCCCGGGGGACAGCTCCTTGATGACCTACCGGGGCCACGGGGTGCTGCACACCCTCATCCGATGCCGCTTCTCCCCCGCACACAGCACCGGCCAGCAGTTCATCTACAGCGGCTGCTCCACTGGCAAAGTGGTTGGTAAGGACTGTGTCAGAACAGGGAGCCTTGGGAAGGGTGGTGATGTTTCTTAGGTTATAACTACAAGTGGAGGTGAATTTAGCTTGGAGCCAGGGAGGCTCAAACAGAAACAGAAAACGTTCTATTCATCAGCATTTTAAATTAAGACAAGGAACATAGAATTCTAGTCAGTAAATATAACAGATTACCAAAAATATACACGGTTGTTTTGTAGCCAGTCAAGAAGAGAGATTGCAGATGAAAGGTAGGAGGGAACAGAGGTAAACAGGAACGACACAAGGACATTCAGCCCCTAGAGCAGGAAAAATACACAAACACAGCTACATCTATAAGGAACCTGAAACCTCGCACTCAGGTAGAGACCCACCAGAATGAGAGAAAGGTGCGCCCCGTCCAGACAAGGAACAGCAGGTTCTCGTGCCTGTGGAGACATTTATTATTAGACCTGATGCCTTCCAGATCTTGTGGGCTTTTTAGAAAATGGCTGCTGAGAGCTTTAAAGCCACATTGCATTTTAAGTGTAGACCTTGTGACTGAGGACCAGAGTTATCTAAGCTCTGCTTGACTATACCCTCAATCTGAGGTAGGGAAAAGGGGAAAGAAATTGAGAAACAGCCCCGTCCTCTGCTGTGGGTTTTGTTACTCTAGGCAAGAGGGATGTTGCTAAGGGGTAGGTAAGTGGTGTTGCTCAGAGATAGATGGGGGCCAGAGGTCCTGTGGCAGCCTCTCCACTCTGGCCTTTGTGAACAGTGTATGACCTCCTCACTGGGCACATCGTGAAGAAGCTGACCAACCACAAGGCCTGTGTGCGTGACGTCAGTTGGCACCCCTTTGAGGAGAAGATCGTCAGCAGTTCGGTGAGGTTGCAAGAGTTAGGGGGGGCTTTGCATGTCTAGGACTTGAACCTGGGAGTGAGCAGCACCGCCTGACTTCTTGCCACCTTCTGCCCTGCAGTGGGACGGGAACCTGCGTTTGTGGCAGTACCGCCAGGCAGAGTACTTCCAGGATGACATGCCAGAGTCTGAAGGAGACCCCAGTGCTCCTGCCTCAGCGCCCCACCCCTCTTCGGCCTTTTCCTCGCCCCAGTAGATCTGACCTCCAGCCCTTCGTGGCTGAGCCTCTTCCCTTCCTCCCTTCTGAGGGATCTTTGGGGAGTCATTGGCATTGCATGGGGAGAAACAGAAGGCCAGGCTTTCGGGGGCCCTAACTGAGCCCTGGAAAATCCTCCCCATGGGTCTCCTCACAATCTCACCCCTCGTTCAGGTTGGGTCTCTATCTCTGGCTAAGGTCTGGCAGGACTGCCTTTGTTTTGGGTATGGCCTTTGTCAGCAAGAGAACTGTTCTGAGTGTTTTTAATCATGTTTGGATGGTAGGTGTTAGCTCCTAGAGTAGATGCCTGGGCCAGGTCTGACTGGAGCAGTCAGGCAGGCCCATTACCTGGCCTTCACCATAAGGATTAGTCTGGCCAATCAGAGGGCCTTTCTCCCAGAGGTCCTGATGGCTAGAGCGGCAGCCCTTTGGGGGCGGGTGGGATGGGTAAGGCTTGTCCTCAGCACCCTCCTAGGGTGGGAATTATGTCGTTTCTTTCCTGTGTCTGGGTCGTTGGGGTGTGCCAGGTTGTGGTTTGAGAGGCTCCACGTGGCCTCCTCACACAGGGCAGCCCCTTCCTCCCACGCGGTTCATCTTGCAGAGACCAGCAGCTTCAAGGAGGGATGTTGAGTAGGACTCCTTCGTCCTCTCACTGGCTTTGGCTCCCTCAATAAACTCTCTGTGGGAACCTAGCTCCGTGTCTCTGTCTCTCTTTTTCCTGTCTGAGGCCTTTTATACTCGCACATCAAGAAAATAGCTTCAACGAAGCCTTCAAGTTTGCTTCTCTATGGGAAAAAGCATCCCTTTGATGCCCAAGATTTAATCATTTAACCAAGCCTTTCGGTAGGTAGCCCCTCTCCAACTTAGAAACTCCCCAGGGAGTGGAAATCAAGAGAGCAGGAAATAAGCACATCTTAGGTCAGCACACTTGCATGAACTTGTCTAGTCGACAAGAAAAAATCGCCCAGAGCCAGAGAACCTGGTGGTCACTGATGCCAGGCCCTCTGGGCGCTTCACCCCCACAGCCACCCTTGCACAGTTGAGGACGTGGAGGCGTGCAGCGTGCCCCAGAGCAGCCGATGGTGCAGCCACTGGGGAACTAGAGTTCGCATCCAATTCTGATCCATCTTTCCCCACATTTCAAGGCAGTTTTTAAGATTATGTCCTTTATAACTATTTACAATTACAACGAAAACTTGTCAACTTTATTTTTTTAATATATATATATTTTTTTAATATATTTTATTGATTTTATACAGAGAGGAAGGGAGAGAGATAGAGAGCTAGAAACATCGATGAGAGAGAATCATCGATCAGCTGCCTCTTGCACACCTCCTACTGGGGATATGCCCGCAACCAAGGCACATGCCCTTTACCGGAATCGAACCCAGGACCCTTCAGTCCCCAAGCCGACGCTCTATCCATTGAGCCAAACCGGTCCCGGCTATTTTTTTAATATATTTTTATTGATTTCTGAGAGAAAGAGAAACATTGATGTTTGGCTGCCTCCTACATGCTCCCCCATTGGGGATCGAGCCCGAAATCTGGGTATGTACCCTGACTGGGAATTGAACTGTGACCTCCTTGTTTATGGGGGACACTCAACCATTGAGCCACACTGGCTGGGCTGATTAATCCATCTTGATCAGTTTGCAGATGAGGGTGCTGAGGACCAAGGAGGGCGAGTTGTCTTCCCAGTCATATAATTGGGGCCAGAACCCAGGAGTCCTTGCTTGCTCGCTCATTCCTTTCACTACTTTACTGGTCTCTACTGTGCTTTGAAGTCCCACCACCACTTTTGAGGAATGAGGAAGGAAGACAAAAAGGGGTCCCAAAACAGTTACTGAATAAACAGTTGTTTAAGTAGTTGCTCCCTGCTCCAGCCTCAGTGGTCAGGTTGGGAAGCGAAGTCTTTTTTTTATTTTTTAATTCTCATCCAAGGATATGTTTTTATTGATTTTTAAAGAGAGGCAGGGAAGGAGAGATAAAGAAACATTGATGTGAGAGAGAAACATTGATCAGTTGCCTCCCATAGTGATCAAACCTGCAACCTAAATATGTGCCCTGACTAGGAATCGAACCCACAACCTTTTTGGTGTGCGGGACGACACTCCAACCAACAACCACCTGGCCAGGGCAGGAGGCCAATCTTATGTGTGGCTGAGACCCAGAGTAATTGGTTAGAGGACACAACCTAAGGTTTTTTGTTTTTATTTTAATATATATATTATTGACTTATTTTCAGACAGGAAGGGAGTGGGATAGAGAGTTGGAAACATTGATCAGCTACCCCTTGCACACTTTCCACTGGGGATGTGCCTGTAACCAAGGTACGTGCCCCTGACCGGAATCGAACCCGGGACTCCTCAGTCTGCAGACTGACACTATCTACCGAGTTTAAACCAGTTTTGGCCACAACCTAAGGTGTTTTTTTGTTTGTTTTATTTTATGGTTTTTTTTTAATTTATTGATTAAGGTATCACATATTTGTCCTCAACCCCCCATAACAAGGTTTTGATGGCTGGGGATTTTTGTTCTAGGTCTCCTTCCCTCCTTCCCTCCTTCCCCATCACCTGGGAGTAAACCTAATCTTTGGGTCTTTGAGAGTCCAGTCTGGGCCATCACCATCTCATACAGTATGCCTCTTTCAGGTCACTTGAGTTTCATCTGTCGGCCATCATAATAAACATACAAAAGAAGGGTCCCCTTTAGATCTAATGTCTTGTGCATTCACACAGCAGCCCTGGGACCAAACTAGCCCCCCCAGAGCCCTTCAGACCAGATAAGCTGGGGCTGAGCCAAGCCCCTGGGGTCATAGTCCCCTAAAGTGGCCTGATTGGACAGTGCAGCCACCTGACTGCATGCTCAGGGGCGGGCTCTTGTGCTCAAACCTAAGGGGAGGGGCTGGACCACACTGATGATGAGGGAGACACAGATTTTTATTTTTTTTTTATTTTTTACCTTTTTTTATTATAATAAATTATTATCTGTGTACATATTTTAACATTTCCCCCCTCCCATATATACCCTCCCTCCCCAGAGTTTTGTGTCCATTGGTTGTACTTATATGCATGTATACGAGTCCTTCGGTTGATCTATTATCTCCCCCAGATCTCCCTATCGTACTGTAATTTGACAGTCTGCTTGTTGCTTTACTGGAGACACAGATTTTTAATAAATCCCAAGGTTTGGTTAGTTTTATCTTTCTGACCCCTAATTTCCCTGTGGATCAAACACATAGTAAAGTTGGGATGAAGTGGGGATGACTGGCTAACCAAACAGAAATAGGCAGATCCAAGCATACTGTGGTCCTAGACAACCCTAAACAGCAAGCCTGGCCCTACGGCATGAACTAGAACATAGAGCTGGGGACAGACCTAGAGGACCAAGGGAACACGGCCTTAACAGAAAGGACACAGGCTGCAATCCAGAACCCCGAGGCTGGGACCCTGCTGACGTGGCAGCCCTCTGCCCTGGCCTCTTACGGCCCCCCGCCCCTCTCCCCCGCCTGCCAGCTGCCAACAGGGCTCTGCTCTGTGTCTGCCACACCTGTCACTGCCTGTCCTTGCCCCAGGGGGGGGCCCCCATCAGCCCCTCCTCAGCTGCCCAGCAGAGCAAGCAGTTAGTGGGGAGGGGAGGGAACATGGAGCGGGGGCCGGCGGTGGGGGCAGGGCTGGGGGCCAGGGCCCGAATCCGGGCATTGCTGGGCTGCCTGGTCAAGGTGCTGCTCTGGGTGGCCTCTGCCTTGCTATATTTTGGAAGTGAACAGGCTGCCCGCCTCCTGGGCAGCCCCTGCTTACGGCGCCTGTACCATGCCTGGCTGGCAGCAGTGGTCATCTTTGGGCCCCTTCTTCAGTTCCACGTCAACCCTCGGACCATCTTCGCCAGCCACGGGAACTTCTTCAACATGTGAGTCCGCTCGAGGCGAGGGGCGCCGGCTCCCTGCCCTCTGGGATCCTAGCTCCCTCCGGGCTTCTGTCCTCATGCCAGGCCAAACACTAAAAATAGGCTAGGAGGTTGAAGAGAAAGTCAGAGAGGGGGAGGGGGACAACTGAGGGGGGGGAGGGGGAGTCGGGAGCAGGACTGAAGAGGAAATATGGACCCTCAAAGGCTGAATGGCCCTTAAGTGGGTGGGAGGTATAGGAAATAGACGCCGAGTGATGAAATGCAGGATTGGGCACAGCAGCGGAGAACACAGAGCGGAGCCAGGAGACGGGGCAGAGGGGTCTCAGTAAGCTCCTCTCTTGTCTGCCCACAGAAAGTTTGTGAATTCCGCGTGGGGCTGGACATGCACCTTCCTGGGGGGCTTCGTGCTGCTGGTGGTGTTCCTGGCCACACGGCGCGTGGCAGTGACTGCCCGGCACCTGAGCCGGCTGGTGGTGGGGGCCGCCGTGTGGCGGGGGGCTGGCCGGGCCTTCCTGCTCATCGAGGACCTGACCGGCTCCTGCTTCGAGCCCCTGCCCCAGGGCCTGCTGCTCCACGAGCTGCCTGACCGCCGCAGCTGCCTGGCAGCCGGCCACCAGTGGCGGGGCTACACGGTCTCCTCCCACACCTTCCTGCTCACCTTCTGCTGCCTGCTCATGGCTGAGGAAGCCGCAGTGTTTGCCAAGTACCTGGCCCACGGGCTGCCCGCCGGGGCGCCCCTGCGCCTTGTCTTCCTGCTCAACGTGCTGTTGCTGGGCCTCTGGAACTTCTTGCTGCTCTGTACTGTCATCTACTTCCACCAGTACACTCACAAGGTAGTGGGCGCCGCGGTGGGCACCTTCGCCTGGTACCTCACCTACGGCAGCTGGTATCATCAGCCCTGGTCTCCAGGGAGCCCTGGCCATGGGCTCTTCCCTCGCCCCCACTCCAGCCGCAAGCGTAACTGAAAGAAATAAAAGCACGTCAGGCCTGGCTCTGGCCCCTTTCATCATTTGGTTGGGGGGGGGGGGCACCTGGAAAGGGTGGGAAGGGCAAAAAGAGAGGCTGGAAAATAAAATAAATAAATATTAGAAATAAATAAAAGAGAGACTGATGGTCACTGAGGTTCCTCAGCCATTCCTTGCTGTTATCAACTTTGAATGTCCTCCCTTATGCTCAATGGCCATTTCTCCTGCTGTTCTTCTATTCTCCTAGACCTCACAGACTTTGAGCTGTTTGAGGCTCTGAAGCCAAGGAGTGGCACTGCTAGGGCAGGTAACGGTGCCCTTGGGTATCGGCAGGATTCCTGCTGAGCAGGTGCTCCATCTCCAGCCTGGTTGATTTATTTTCCCTGCCTCTCCCACTGAATCCTACCCCTGCTTTCCGCAGGGGCCTGCCTGTCTTCCTCATAGGGGTCAATGTGTGCTCATTTATTTAATAGGTGTTTATTGAACCAAGCATAGTTCCATGCCAGGTGAATAAGAAAGACTAGTGTTGTAGTGTATCCCTCATCTTACAAAGGACGTCTCAAAAAGTTGAATTATGGAGTCATTTATTAAAAGCCGGTGGAATACGAGGGGCTAAAGCTCCAAATCTCACAGCCCCGAACAGCTTGTCACATCTGGCTTATATTGGTAGAATATCACAAAGGTATCAATTACATTTTTGGGTCTGGAATGAAGAACCTGTTTCGTGAGCAAGTTCGTTATCTAAAGTATATACGAATCACTGAATAAACAGAAACACATTATCTGGGACCACCGGGGCAATTTAGAATAATTGTGCTGTCCAGATTCTGGGACCACTGATTCAACAGGAATGCACTATCTATAGCTACTGAGGCAATTTAGAACAATTCGTGCTCTTCTGATTCCAGGACCACTGAGTCAACCGAAACTCAGTTATCTGTAGCTACTGAGACATTTAGGATAATTGAACTGTCCTGAGTCCCAGAAGAATGTGCTTCGATGATCAGTGAGATCACAATCAATGGGATATTTAAACCATCATCAATGGAGTATTGAGATAGCATGCATAAGTTCAGAAAATCAAAATAACTTTCTATTTTTTTTTAAGAGGGGATTGCTTCAGGCAGGGTCCCTTTTCTTTTTTTAAATATATTTTATTGATTTTTTACAGAGAGGAAGAGAGAGAGATAGAGAGTTAGAAACATTGATCAGCTGCCTCCTGCACACCTCCCACTGGGGATGTGCCCACAACCAAGGTACATGCCCTTGACCAGAATCGAACCTGGGACCCTTCAATCCGCAGACCGATGCTCTATCCACTGAGCCAAACCGGTTTCGGCACTTCCTATTGTTTTAGCAAACAAATAAGTACAGAGCCCAAACAGTGGTTTCTACCTGAGATGATTGCTACCATACTTCACTAGGTTTTTGCTGCTTGGGGGCTAATGAGTTGATTACTGGGGAAGGTAGATGATATGCTCACAATAACAAGTAATTTGTATTGTGCTTATTCTGTGCCAGGCACCATTCTAAGTGTAAGTTCTTCATATAAATTAACACATTTAGCCCTGGTGGTGTTCCTGGCTACACGGCATGTGTGTCCATTGTACAGTTGGGAAAACTGAAGCACAGGGTAAGTCACTTGTTCACAGTTAGTAAACATGAGAATCAGGATTATAAACCCAGGCACTATGGGTCTAGTATCTGTCTCTAAACCAGGTATAAGCAAATTATAGCCCTCCTGTGGCCACTTTTTGTATTGCCTGATTGCTAAGAAAGGTTCTTAACATTTTTAAACGGTTGAAAAAAAATTAAGAGTATTGCGTGATATCTGAAAATTAATGTGAAATTCAAATTCCAGTGTCCATAAATAGTTTTATTGGAACCTAGCCACACTAATTCATTTAAGTATAGCTACTTGCCTGCTACCATGGCAGAGTTCAGTACTGTGTTGCTATAGACACTATATGGCCCCAAAAGCCTAAAATATTTACTATCTGGCCTTTTACAGAAAACGTTTGTTTGCCAAATCCTGGTCTAAACCACACAAGTCTCAAAAACTAAACTGACTGATATCAGAGATAAGTGCTATGATGGTACTTAAACGGGATGCTTGGTAAGAGAGACTTGGCACCCTCGCTGATTTGACTCAGTGGATAGAGTGTGGCCCTGCAGATTAAAGGATTCGGGGTTCAGTGCCAGTCAGGGGCACATACCCGGTTGCAGGCGATGGGTGATTCTCTGTCATCATTGATGTTCCCCTCTCTCCCTTCCTCTCTGAAATCAGTAATATATATATAGTATTTGGATATATGTATATATCCAAAAAGTTCTAAGCAAGAAAGAGCCAGATTCTGCTGCTTGTGGAGAGTGGGTTATAGAGGAATGGAGTCCACAACAAGGGTCTGGTTTGGGGTCTGAATGTCATTGGCAGAGGATGCCGGGGGAACCAGGGACGCATGCTGGCAGGGCTGAGGGGGAAAAGCAGGCTTGTTCCACAGCTGAGGAAAGATGGCAGAGCACCAGATAAGGCTTATCCCTGTCCCAGGCCCAGCAGATGAAAAAGAGCCGGTGGGAAGTCAGGAGGCGGGGGGGGGGGGGGGGGGGGGGGGGAGGGAGTCCAAAGACGGGCACTGGCAGGGAAGAGGGAGTGCACGGATCTTGAAGCCGAGAGGCGAGAATCGGAGCCCAGAGCGCCCCGGCGTGGGAAGGAGGCAGAAGAGGGAAGAGGAAGGAAGAGGAGGGGGGAGGGGGAGTGGGGAGGGGGAAGAGGGGGGAAGAGAGAGGAGAAGGCGGAGCGCCCAGAGCAGGGAGGCGGGGCGGGGGGCGGGCGGAGGAGCTCAGTGCAAACGCTCCCCATGGGCTCTAGGGGGCGCCCGGCCCGAGCCGCCAGGCTCCGCTCGCCTCCCCCCACCCCGCCCCGTCCCCACCCGGCCCCTCTGGGCCAGTCCCCGCCTCCTCCAGCGCCTCCGCTCCCGCTACCCGGGAGGGCGGCCGGCTGCGCGCGCTGCTTTCGCTTTCCCTTCCCCAGCCCCGTCCTCCTCCTCGTGCGGCGACGGGACCCGGGACCCCCGCCGCCCAGCCATGGCCACGCTCCGGGTGCAGCCTGAAGCCCAAGCCAAGGTGAGCGCTGTGGGTCCGAGGAAGGACCATCCGGGAGGCGTGGCGCCGAAAGGCTGGGGGCGTAGGTGACCCGGCCCCCACGCCCCCGACCCAGGGGGTCCGTCTTCGAGCCCCAGTGAGCCTCCAGGCCCGGAGTACTTGAGCCCCGAGGAGCCCCGCGGGTCCGGCGCCGGGAGGGGAGACGGCCAGGCGCAGCGGTGCAGCGGGGTGAGGTGAAGCGGAGAGCCGGCGTGGAGGGGAAGTCCGCTGGCCCGGCGCCGGGCCCACACACAGGCGTGGTGCGGGGCCCGTGCGGCCACCACCGTGCCTTTTCCACGGGGAGGGCCCGGGGCCCACCACGCAGGGCACTCCGCCCCTGCCCCGGCGCGGAAGGCTCTCACCCCTCTCCCTACACAGCCCAAGGCACCCGAGGGACCTGTTCTCACTCGAACCCCTCGCCCCTTCGCAGCCCGGAAGGTTCTCATCCCCAAAACCCAGTCCCAAGGGCATCCACTCCACCCTCCCCCAGCCCAGACCCGACACAACCCTAAGGGAACAGTACCCAGGTGAACTGGCCATAAAGCCAGGTGTCTGAAAGGCTGCCTGTGTCCCACAGGTAGATGTGTTCCGTGAAGACCTGTGTACCAAGGTAAGACCTGCCCCATCAGCACCCCACCCCTACCCAGTTCCCACTGCTTAGCCCTTCCTTGCTGAGCAGGGTCAGCCCTGCTTTGCTGCCTAGGAAGGACGTTTGATTCTAACACCCCACCCCCCATCTCCCGCAACTTCTCCCAACTCCACGGCATTCACAGACAGAGAACCTGCTCGGGAGCTACTTCCCCAAGAAGATTTCTGAGTTGGATGCATTTCTAAAGGTACTGAGGCTGAGCAGGGAGCCAAAGAGTAGGGGCTAAGGGGCCACGAGGATGCCCTTGCCTCCAGCCTTCCTCCTACCCTGTGCCAGGAGCCAGCTCTCAATGAAGCCAACCTGAGCGATCTGAAGGCTCCATTGGACATTCCTGTGCCTGACCCAGAGAAGGAGAAGGAGAAGGAGGAGCGGAAGAAACAGCAGCAGGAGGCAAGCCAGGAAGAGCTGGGAGGAGGGACCCAAGAATGGGGAAAATTAGCCTTACAAGAATGACTCCCAAGAGCCATTCTTTCCCTGCAGAAGGAAGACAAGGATGAAAAGAAGAAAGAGGATGAAGACAAAGGTACCACTCTGGTGGGAAGGATCTTGAGTCTTCTTGCCCAGAAGCGCCTCCTAAAGGATCCCTCTTCCCCACCCCTCACTCAGTCCCAGCGTGTGACTGACCTACTGCCCACTCTCTAGGTCCTCCCTGTGGCCCCGTGAACTGCAACGAGAAGATCGTGACCCTCCTACAGCGCCTAAAGCCTGAGATCAAGGATGTCATTGAGCAGCTCAACCTGGTGAGCCCTCCTACTTCACTGCCCCCTCTGGGTTTCAGTCAAACCCTTTTCTTCCTTGGCCCCTGCCACTGAGGGCCTGGCACCTGCCAGGTCTCGGCAGGAGAGGGCATAGCAAAGTCAGAAGTTTAAGTCCTGGGGCTCAAAGTGGGCAGGGAGCAAGGGAGGACGGGAACTCGGGAATTGGGTTGAAGGGTCGATGTGGCTTTGATGCTGTTCCCTCCTCCCAGGTCACCACCTGGTTGCAGCTGCAGATACCTCGGATTGAGGACGGAAACAATTTTGGAGTGGCTGTCCAGGTTAGAGCACTGCCTCATTCCTCTGCCCTCCTTACCTCTCTGGTCCATGCTGTCTTCCACTTTCCCCTTTGAATTCTTCCCCCAGGAGAAGGTGTTTGAGCTGATGACTGCCCTTCACACCAAGCTGGAAGGATTCCACACTCAAATCGCCAAGTGAGTGTCTGCCCAATCGCACCCATTACACATTCTGCCTTTGACTTGGATAGAGGCCTCGTCTCTCTCCTTCTTCCACTCCACACCCTTCTATTTCCCACAGGTATTTCTCAGAACGGGGTGATGCCGTGGCCAAAGCAGCCAAGCAGCCCCACGTGGTAGGTGAGACCCAGGGTGGGGTGTATTGGAAGGGAAGGACACATTTGAAGCCAGCCCTGACCCAGGTCTCCCACAGGGCGATTACAGGCAGCTGGTGCATGAGCTGGACGAAGCAGAGTACCGGGACATCCGGCTGATGGTCATGGAGATCCGAAACGCTTATGTGAGGAGGAGAGGGTGGGGCAGGGGTGGGAGAGGCAGCTTTCCCAGGCCACCCTTCCCCTGACTCTGCAGCTGGGGGTGAAGGGTGACAAACTCTGCAACTGGGGGGGAAGGGTGGCAAAGCTCCATATCTCTGCCAGGTTAGAAATGAGGCACAGAGCCACTGGGAACTTAGGGCTGATTCCCACTCCATCTTGGTCCTCTAGGCTGTGTTGTATGATATCATTCTGAAGAACTTTGAGAAGCTCAAGAAGCCCAGGGGAGAAACAAAGGGAATGATCTATTGAGAGCTTCCTCGTACACTGTCGTGGGCCCAGCAGAGACCTTCCTGTCTCCGACAGGGAACTTCAGACTTTGTGCCACCTTCTGCCATTTGAGGGTTCTCCCTCACTTGCCTGTTAGGCACAATAAATATAGTCATAATGCTATCCACTAGCTCAAGTCTCTTTATTGGATCCTGGCACATACACACACACACACACACCCTCTGGCCCTGGCTCAGGCATTTCCATTGGTGGGACCAACCCACTGAGTGATTTTGGTGTTGAGCTGCTGGTTGGTCCAGTCCTGCCGGATATCGTCAAGGTGGCAGTCAAAGTCCACAAGGTGCTGCTGGGCCCGGCTCTCCAGGAGTGCTCCCACCATCTGTCGTGACTCTTCCCAGTCCCTCCACATCACTCTGAAACAATAACCCTCATGGAGGTCAAACTCAGCAGGCAGTGGGGCCAGACATAACAGATTAAGTCCAGAGCAGTGGTCACCAACCTTTCGGACCTCACCAACCACCAGTTGGCGACCACTGGTCTAGAGAATGACCCTTGGGACAGGACCAAGGACAGAGGCCCAGGCCCTGGCTTTCCAAGGAGAGGAGGAGGGAGTGGGGCACTCACAAGTTCTTGTCCTTGGGGACCCAGCAGAGACCTTGGTTCTCCAGAACAATGACTGGGGGCACATGAGGCTGAGGCACCAGTTTCTGGTTATCCAACTGTGAAGATAAGGGCAGGTGAGAGCTTCAAGGATCCGCCTTCCTACTTTCTTTCCAACCCCCTTCTCCAAAGCCAAGCCTCACCATAATAAGTACTGCATCAGGGAAGAATTCTGCAATCCGCCCAGCGATTTTCAAGGCTAGGGGCCCAGGGCTGTGTAGAGGGAAGATCAGAGGAGTGAGGAGCCGACTGGAGAGACCCCGTCCATCTGAGCTGTGCTTCCCAGATTCCACAGACACGGATGCAAGGATTGGCTTTCCCTGTAGTTAATCTGGGGGTTCAGGTCTGCTTGCTGCTTCCCGCAGGGCTGCTGGATGCTTGTGTGCTATGGGAAACAGGTGCTTGGACACTGCTGGTGAGAGTGGAAATCAAAAGTGGTCTTGGGGGGGTAAGTTGGCATAACCATCCAAATTTAAACTGTATGCTACATACATGCTGACCCAGACATTCCACTTATAAAGAAATTACTGAAATAATAGTCGGGCAGTGTAATAAAAAATTGTGACAACCTCAATATTCAGTACAGGCATTAAATAAATTACGGTACATCCTTATTCACATTACACAGCCTTAGGTAGATCCTGGTGTAGAGATGGAAAGATGTCAGATATCCACTAAATGAGAGGAAAGTACATTTAAAAAAAACTATGTATACTTTGATCCAGATATATAATACAAAAATTAAGATAATTTTTTTTCTACTTATAGAAAAGAAGTGTTGTGGTTTTTATTTAAGTTGCTAGCTGGGCTTCCGGTGTGCTTTTAGCAGTTGGGGGAAGGGTGCCTCGGTGAAAACAAGCGTCAGCCTTTTCTTATACACAGTCATCCTGCCCACCACCACCAAAGCTCCTCCAGAGCGTCTTTGCATTTATATTTCCTCACTCAGCACCCAACCTCATTCATGCCTGGGGTACAGTCCCTACTCCCAAGCTTTGATTAAGGAAAGATGGAAGGAACGACCAAGAGGAATGCTCTTGACACCACCCCCATCCGCACCCCATAACCCTTAGCCTTCCGCCTCTGGCTCCCAGACTCACCTTTGGTCATGGAGAGCCGCATTGGCATGGTAGTACCCAGCCAGTACCAGGCCGGCCTGCGCGCCCCACACGTCTACCTGCCGTGGGAAAGGGCCGTCAGTGCCGCCCTGTGGGTGGTCACTGCTGGAGGCGGGGATAGGCTTGGGCGAGGGGTTGTAGGGGGTTCACGGTGGTCGGTGGGCGTCCAGCAGCCGCACCTGGTGGAGGGCGACCTCCAGCATGACGGACAGCGCCAGGTGGCTGTGGAAGAGCGGCACGCAGTCGGTGAGGCACAGGCATTCTCCCGACCGCGGCGCCGGCGCCAGCAGCAGCCCGTTGACCGCGGCGTGCGGGTAGCGGGCGGCATGCAGGCACATCTTCCCGTAGGCCCGCGCCGAGATCTCCACCTCCCCCATGGCTAACCGGCCCGGCTCGCGTCTGCCAGGCTTCCTCCAGCGCCCCACCCCACACCCTCCTGGTCCTTCCTGTGCCCCACCCCCCCAAACCCCCACTTAGGTCCGGTGGTAACCCGGGTTTGGCTGGAAGGGGCCTCGGCTCCGGAGCCGGGAACGTAGGCGGCCAGATGGCATGGTGCAGTACCCAGCCCCCGTCCGCCAGCCCCCAGGGGGTGGCCGCGCACCCGGGCCGCCCGCTCCAAGCCGGACCAGCTCCTAGACTGACTGTCTACACGGTGCTCTTTGATAGGCTCAGAGGCCTCGTTTTGTCCAATCACTGGCCTCATCCAAAACTTGTCCCACCTTTGTCTCCAGCCGAGTAGAAAGAACCCACCGCAGCAAAAGGAACAGCTGCACCCTGGCTGGCTAGGCTTCCCAACTAGGATTCGTGATTACAGGACTGCTTCTTCCGTTACCTGTGTGCCCCAGCCCCCAAGGAGCCCGCAGAGTCAGCCCGCGTTAGGTGTCCCGGTGCGGTAGATCTTTGACCTTGGGCATGTAGCCAATTAACTTGCTACTATTGAATGAGTAGGTTTGTACTCTAGACGGCTCTTGCATTTATTAATGAGCTAACTATAGGTTATCTGGCCTTTGGTTTCCTTGATGTAATATCTGCAGAAGTGAAGACAGCAATTGGCTGAAGGAGGGTAAAAAATACACACACACACACACACACACACAGACCCATAATGTCCTGTGCTGTAATTTGCTTTAGTATAATGCCTTGGGGATGTTTTTTCCCCCCTCCCTCCCAGTCTTTGAGAAGTTCAACCATTAACCTGTAATGCTTCCAGTGAAACGTCATTCTTTCTCCAGGCTTGCTCTGAACTGATGAAGTGATGGAAGGCTTTTCCTTTCTTCATTCCCTGACCTCAGCCAAAGAGCTTTCCTCTTGTTGGTCCAAACCTTGATTCTTCCTGTAAGGGCTCTGCCCAAATGCCACCTCTTCCAAGAAGCACTCATGAAACTCCAGATGGAAATAATCTTGTGAAAATCCCAAATACAAGTTATCTTTATGGCCTTGGTGGCATGTAACAGTTTCCACCCTGTTTTTTTAATATATTTTATTTTTTTACAGAGAGGAAGGGGGAGGGATAGAGAGCTAGAAACATTGATGAGAAACAGCGACCTACTGGGGATGTGCCCACAACCAAGGTACATGCCCTTGACCAGAATCAAACCTGGGACCTTTCAGGCGGAAGACCAAAGCTCTATCCACTGAGCCAAACCGGTTTCGGTTCCACCCTATTATTTAGGATGACTTCTTAAGAACAGAATTGGCATATAATTCATCTTTGTCTTCCTGGAACCCCCTACCTTTCCCACCACCACATTCACAATCAGTGTCTGGACAAAGGTGGCACTCAGTAAATGCTTTCTGATTTTTTTTTTTAATATATTTTATTATTTTGTACAGAGAGGAAGGGAGAGAGATAGAGAGCTAGAAACATCGATGAGAGAGAGAGTCATCGACCAGCTGCCTCATGCACACCCCCTACTGGGGATATGCCCGCAACCAAGGTACATGCCCTTGATCGGAATCGAACCTGGGACCTTTCAGTCCCCAAGCCGACACTCTATCCATTGAGCCAAACCGGTCTCGGCTGTAAATGCTTTCTGAATGAACGACACACACCAGAGGTAATCCACACAAAGTATTGGTAATTTATTTCCTTTTAGCCTTGGAGTCAATACATAGATGGCTTCTCTTCACCTTTTGGGTTGACAATTTTCTCCAGGTTGCTGCTAATGATATGATAAAGCTCAGCCTGAAAAAAGGCCAAGAAGTACAGCAGTCAGGCTCTTGGCTCTCCCTCTGTACCCCCTCATCCAAATCCCTTGGGGGCTTACTCCATACTCACATAGAAGGCCCTTAGGTCCAGCACCATGGCCCTGAGCTCCCTATAGGCTGCCTCATCTCGCTCGTGCACCAAGGCCCGGTAATCCATCTGGGATGTGGAAGGCAAAGCTGAGTCAGGAGGCTGAGACAAAGTCTGGTTTCCTCATACAGGGAATAGGTAACTTGAGGATGAGCCCTTAGCACAAGAAACGGGATTCCCACAGTGCCAAACAAAAAAAGGGTCAATATTTTTGAAACCCAAATCAGTTTCCTAGGCAATGCTTTTCCCTTAATATTCCCCATACTGGGAAGGTCATAAACAAGACAAAGAGGACTTCTATCCCTCTTTCCTCACCCTCCCAGCCGCCAGCCTCAGCTGAAAGGCTAGTAGACAATCTACTCACTACATGTGTCTCCTTAGAGGCCTTGGCCACAGCATCTCCACGTTCTGAGAAGTACCTGCCAGAAGCAAGGAGAGTAACCACAAGAATGGGCATTCAGAGAGATACATTCCCTCAGGCCCCTCCCAAAGCCCCCCACCGTCCTAATGGGACTGCCTACCTTTGGGAGTCCCCAAAGCCACTCCCCTACTCCCCATCCCCCATGGTGGCCTTCTTGGTGCCCTCACTTGGAAATGGTTGTCTGGAAGGCTTCTACTTTGGTCTTGACTGCATTCACCCTCTCCAGAACCTTCTCCTGTGGTGACAAAAGAGATGGGAGGCAAAGAAAACACTTCATCCCCTCCCGTCTTTATTCATCATCTTCCTATCGCTTCTCGGCCTTTTGGCTAAGATCAAGTGTAGTATTCATCATCTTCCTCCTCCTCCCAGTTATGTCTAGCTCCTATTCCTTACTCTCCAAGTCTCTTCCAGGTTTTAATGTCTTCATACACCCTTTTCTTACCTGGATTGCTACCCCAAAGTCATTTCCATCCTCAATCTTGGGGATCAGGTGCTGGATCCACGCGATCACCTACATGAAGAGGTATCATGTCGGAATCATTCAACAAATTTACTGGGTTCTTCCTATTTCTGCTATTTCATAACAATGGCTGTATTTAATTGAGCATTTATTATGTGCTAAGTACTGTGTTATGTATTATACATCTCATTTAATCTTTCAAGTTATATATTCTTTTTTTTTTAAACTGATTTATTTTTTTTTTTTTTCAATCCTCACCCAAGGATATTTTTCCACTGGTATTTAGAGAGAGTGGAAGAGAGGGAAAGACAGAGAGAAATATCGATGTGAGAGAAACACATCAATTGGTTGCCTCCTAAACACACACAGTGACCAGGGCTCAGGCCAGGGAAAAGCCTGCAACCAAGGTATGGGCCCTTGACCGGAATCAAACCCAGGACTTTTTGGTCCACAGTCCAGTGCTCTATTCAAACCGTCGAGGGCTCCAGTTATATATTCTTATTATTATACCCACTTAACAGATGGAAAAAAAGGAACCATAGAACATTTAAGTGACTTAAGATAACCAGCTAGGTAAGTGATAGAGTCATGATTTGAATCCAGGCAGTTTTCCTCTAGGGCCCAAACTCTTAAATCAACTCACTATATTATAGCATCTGCACTATCCAGCTGGTACAGCAGTGAGTTCTGAGGTTACGGAGGTGAATATAGCATGGTCTTTGATTTCAGGGATACCACAGTGATATGAGAGGTCTAGCAGAATAAAAGGTATTTAAACCCATGTCACAGAAGGAGGTTTCCTATTTCAGAAATAGGTTCCTGAAGGAAGGAGTTGCATTTCTGAAGGACTCCAGGGCCTGGCCTGGCTTGTCTTCTCTATTCCCTCAGTTCCCAGGCTTACCAGAATACATTTTTCTTTGAGAGTCCAGACTTCTGGCTTAACCAGGGCAAGCAGGGCCAGGAGCTTCTCATTCCCAGGGAGAAAGCCGCACTTAGGGACTGTGAAAAAGAAGGGATTTAGGCCCCTTTTTATCCAGCAGTATTGTGCCATTTCCCTTTCCCTAGCTACCCATTCTTTTCTTACCTTCTTTCTTCTCCTGCTTATCTGTTTCCATCTAAAGTAGAAAGGGTGAAAGTAGCTTCAGAAAAGTCATGGGGATGAGAAAGCCATCTTCTGCACAGAGTCAAAACCCTAGTCCCCAGTGCCTCACCTCATCATCTTTGGGTGGAGGGTCTGGAATAGGGATGTCCAGTGAGGCTCGGAGAGAGGTCAGGTCGGCCACATTGAGGGAGTCCTCCTGCACAAAGCTTCCTGTCAGGGGCGCCCGACCTTCCCTCCACCCTTCCCTCCTGCTCTCTCCCTCCCAACCAAGCCTCACACCATCCTCAAATTCCCAGTCCACCACTCACACCTGTTCTCTACCTGCTGAGCCCAGTTTTTAGTTAGAGAGGGTGGGTGGAGAGGACAAAGGTCATGGGATGAAACAAAAGGGGTCCATACCACTCACTTGCAAGAGCTGATTCAGGTGTATGATCTTCTGTGGCAAGAATGTGTGGAGGAATTCCTCAGCCTGTGGATTATATTTAAGGGTGGGGAATCACAGAAAACACTCAGTGAGATGTCTGAGAAGTGGGACTCAATCCAAGACCTACAAATGAGGAAACTGAAGTCCTGAAAAGTGAAGGGACTTGCCCAACTGAGAAGTGGCAGATTCAAGGTTAGGGCTGTGGTATTGAGCTTCGGGGCCACAGCATCTCCCTCCACACCATAAGAGGGGAGAAGAAGTGGCAGAAATGGGGACAATATTAAAAGATATCAAATTAGAGGTAGAGCCGGGACCGGTTTGGCTCAATGGATAGAGCGTCGGCTTGGGGACTGAAGGGTCCCGGGTTCGATTCCGGTCAAGGGCATGTACCTTGGTTGCGGGCATATCCCCAGTAGGGGGTGTGCAAGAGGCAGCTGATCGATGATTCTCTCTCATCGATGTTTCTAACTCTCTCCCTTCCTCTCTGTATAAAATCAATAAAATATATATTTTTTTAAAATTAGAGGTAGAGATCCATTAGGAGCTTATCTTGGGTGAAGGCTTGATAAGGGAAGTAGGGCCAAAGTCTAGAGTGGGTTCGGGGGTCACTCTGAGAGGTTGTGATCCTTAAGCATCGACCTAAGATTCTGGGTCAAATAGCTTGAATCCAGAAGACTTACCTCCTGGAAAAGATTTTGCCTGAAGACATCCACCTGCGTAGAGAGCAGTACCCGAATGTTGGTTAAAGGTCTCAATTATCAACAATCTCATCCCCAATTAAATGCCCTCCAACTTGGCTCTGGCCTTTCCCACCATAAGCCAGATTTCCTTGCAAGTCCTTGCTCAGTGCAGAGACAGGCCAGAGGGCATGAATCTGGGAATCCCCGGACAGAAGTGAAAGCACTAAGGAGAGAGGCTGGGGTAGCTCTCCGGCACGGCCTTGGTCCCCTAGAACGCCCAGCTTCGCCTCTATCCAGGAAGGCTCCCCGGCCCCCCTCCTAGCTCCCCGGTCCCCCTTACCTGTTTGCGGGCTTCCCCGCTCAGGCGCACCCCACAAGGCTTGGCCATGCTGCTCCGGTGGCTAGATCTCGGGTCTCTCCGGGCTCACCTCCTGGGCTTTCGCTTTCACTACCCACATCCAGGCCCGCCCCCCTTAACCCCACCCCCTTCCTTTTCTCTCCCCCTCCCCCTGGCAGGCCGCCAACCGCGCGGAGCCCCTTAGCCATGCTCCACCAGTTGAAACTAGGAGAGGCGGTGCCCACTCGGTTACGAGACCCGGGGCGGTCCGAGGGCGGAGCCAGGGCGAGTGGCACCGCGAACACGGAGCCGGGGCGGTCCCTCCCGGGAAGGGGCGGGGCTGGCAGGAAGCCGGGGTTGGAGCGGGAGGTGGGGAGCGGGTGTTGGGCGGTGGGGCTGCCCCTGGAAGGCTCCGCTGTGAGGAGGGCCCGGCCCGGCCCCAGAGCTGTGGAAGGAGGGGGGGGAGGGCCTGGAGCTGGGGCGCGCCGGCTAGCTGACTGTGAAAGGGAGCGGGCGTGGGGCTCCCCGCCTCCAGCCCCGACTGGAGGAGAAGCGCTTGAGCCCGGCACCGGCGCAGAGTGGGCTTCCCCGGTGGAGACCGGAGCAGGCCTGCTGGTCTGCACAGGGAGGAAGGCTCTGAGGGGAAGCAGCTCCCCCAGCGCCTGGGGCCCTCCGGGAAGGGGCGGGCCGGCCCGGAGGGAGGCGGGGACTAGTTAACTGGCACTGGGGGCGGAGCCAGGGACCACTTACCCTCCTCATTGGTTGGGAGTGAGTCCCCACCCCTTTTGGCCACGCCCCTCACTCCATGACCCCCCCCCGCCCCTTCCTAGCCTGAACCCCCTCCTCTTCCTCTGAAACTGGGTGGCAGTCCCGCCCTCTGTTCTAAGTGCTTCCTGTTCCCGACTCACCCTGGCGGGGGGCCGGGGGCCCCGGAGTGACCGTGGCCGTGAGTGACCCGGGGCCGGAGGGGCGGCGCTCGGGCCACGCGCAGCCGGTGCGGGTCCGGGCGGGCCGCGGGGCTGGGGCTGGGGCCGGCCGCCGCCTCGGGATGCCCGGCGAGGAGGAGGAGCGGGCCTTCCTGGCCGCCCGCGAGGAGCTGGCCGCCGCCTTGAGGAAGGACTCCGGGCAGACGTTTTCCGTGGAGCAGCTCTGGCCGCTGCTCGCCACCCCTCTGCCGCCCTCCGCCCGCTACCAGCAGCTGGACGCCGCGCGCCTGGTCCGCTGCAATGCCCGCGGGCCGGTGAGGCCGGGCCCCGCGGGGGAGGGGGGCGGAGAATCGGAGCCCGGGCTAGACGCTCACAGCTCTCTGCTCTCTGACTGCTCTCAGCCCCAAACCTACCTCATCACCCTTTCCACGGCCCTGAACATCCTAGAGAAATACGGCCGCAACCTCCTCAGCCCTCAGAGGCCACGGTATTGGCGCGGGGTCAAGTTTAATAACCCGGTCTTTCGGAGTACGGTGGATGCTGTGCAGGTGAAGCCCCGGGAGTCCCTTATGGGAGAAAGGAATTTGGCTTGAGCTGGGAGATGGGGGGGATGGGGGGTGGGAGTGTGGCTAGAAAGGGCCTGAGCAGAATGGGAAGGGGGTCAGCCCTATCGGGAAGAGGGCCTGCTGCTGGGTGTTGAGTGATTGTGACTGTGTGGCAGGGGGGCCGGGATGTCCTGCGATTGTATGGCTACACCGAGGAGCAGCCGGATGGGTTAAGCTTCCCTCAGGGGCAAGAAGATCCAGATGAGCACCAGGTAGCTACAGTCACACTGGAAGTCCTGTTACTTCGGACGGAGCTCAGTATGCTGTTACAGGTGAGGTGTCTCTGGTCTTGAGGGTTTAAGCACCAAGGCTGGGAAGATCTGCCTGACTCCAAAGCCAGCCTAGGGATTCCCATGTTCCTAAGCCTTGTGCATAGTCCCCTCAGCAATGTGGGAGCTCCCCTGACTGTTCTTTGTGTGAATGTTGGGGGACCGGGTCTTAGAGGGAGGGCCTTGTTCTAGGGCTCTAGGTGGGAACTCCTCTTTTCTTGTTTACAGAAAACTCATCCAAGACAGCACGCACTGGAGCAGCTGCTGAATGACAAGGCTGAAGATGATGCAAGGAAGGCAGGAATGGGCTCTGGGACCTGGTGAACAAAGTGGACAGGGGTTGGGGACTCTCCAAACCCTTACCCACTACCTGCCCTTTCTCCTCAGATGCTACCGCTCTCAGAGTTTGCCCCCCTACTAAGAGAGATTGTTCCTGGCCCCCTCATCACACCCTCTGCCCCAGGTATTACTGGTCCTGTCTTGGGAGGGGCAGGGTTAGTAGATGGAAATTTGGAGCCCTTCTCTGCCTACCTTCTTGGTTATCTTTCTTTAAAAAAAAAAAAAAAAAAAGAGATTAAAATGGTTTCCAGATGTGTTGAAAAGCAGTCTGTGACTGGTCCCCCTCCAAAGCACATTCAGATGTAACCTGGCCTTTTTTTTTTTTTTTTTTTTTCAGAAAGATGTCCTATTCTTTCTCTCCTGTTTTCCAGGCTCCACTCCCGGTCCTTGCTTCCTCTGTGGTTCTGCCCCAGGCACACTGCACTGCTCTGCCTGTAAACAGGCCTTGTGCCCAGCTTGTGACCGCCTGTTCCATGGGCACCCATCCCGTGCCCATCACGTCCGCCAGACATGGGCCCCTCACACTGCCCACTTGACCCCTAGGTGAGAGACCTTCTCTTCTGAGAGGACTTACAATTATTTGAGAATTTCCTACGTACCATATTCTGTGCTAAAGACTGTTTTATAAGGGCACGTAGCTAGTAATTGCCCCTCCAGGAGATCACAGACATACATATTAATAAGCAAGTAGCAGTCACAACAAGATAGATTATCATGGTGTGCAAATAGGTAATAGGAGGATTCAACCCAGTCTGAAGATCAGCTCAATCAGCTGACTGTATTTTAAGCACCTAGAATGGGTCATGCCCTATGTTAGGGATCTCCATCAGCAAGATGTAAATTTTAAGCTATCATTTAAATGTTCAATAGGCTATGGGTATGGGAGTGTTCCAGATTGAACAAAACTGGCGTGCCCATGCAAAGGCGAGAGCCAAGTATCATCATGCAGGGATTAAGGGATGCCCAGGGTGGGGGACCCAAGCACCAGGGGACCCCCCCCCCCCTCAGCAGGCCTTGTCTGCTTTTTTCCATTGCAGCTTACCTGCCTCAGCTCCACCACTGCCCCAGCTAACCTCCTTGCTGGCCCTCGGAGACAGCTCTCTTTCGTGCCCTGATTCTGCAAGTGCCCGTCTATCCTGGCACTGTGCCACCTGTTCCATGCTAAACAAACCTTGGGCAGTGCTCTGTGAGGCCTGTGATCGGCCCAGAGGCTGTAAGGGGTTGGGGCTGGAGATCGAAGGTTCGCAAGGAGCTGGAGGCCTAGAACCTGAACTTGCACGGGGTCACTGGGCCTGCCAGAGCTGCACCTTTGAGAATGAGGCGGCAGCTGTGCTGTGTGCCATGTGTGAGCGACCTCGGCTGGCTCAGCCTCCCAGCTTGGTGGTGGAGTCTCAGGATGGCGGCATTTGCCTGCAGCCCCTTCAGGTAACCTGTTCCTGGCTTTCCAAGCTCTTCATTTGCACCTGTTACAATAAGCCATTCTCTACCTCTTCATCCCCGGTTTTCCATCAGTTTCCCCTTGTCTTCCAACCCGCTCCCTACATTTCTATCTTGAGCCTCAGCCAACGTTCAATGGAATAATTCTTTCTGCCTTTCCAGCAGAGAGACGCTTTGCTTTCCTCTGCCCAGACTTCAATCTGGTATTGTACTCACTGCACCTTCTGCAATTCGGGCCCTGGCTGGGTGTGTGCCATGTGTCACCGGACCAGCAGCCCCATCCCCGCAAAGCATGCCTCCCAGCCCATCGCCAGCTCTTTGGAAGAGCAACTCCCCACTCCAGAGCCTCTGCGACGCCTCAGCGCCCCTCTGCCCAGTTCCTGTGGGGACTCTGAGAAGCAGCGCCAAGACAAGATGCGGGAGGAAGGTCGTCAGCTGGTGCTCAAGATCCGGGTGAGGATTTGGCCTGGGATGAGGTGGGGCTGAGCTGGTGGGAGAAGGAGAGGTGTAGTCAGATAATACGAATTCTTATAAATCTGGTCGTTGTTAGCCACACCTACTTGTTATTGAACACTTCCCATATGGCAAGTGTCATGCTCAGCTCCGCTCACATGATCACAGTCTGAACTCAACCCCTGTCAGCACTTTGGTGCTGTCTTGGGGGGGGTGGAGGGCACCTTCCTGATGGCCCTCTGTCGGGTGGGCTGTGCCTCAGGAAGGAGAAGCCGCGGGCGCCGGTCCAGAGGAGATCTTCTCAGCCCTGCAGTACTCCGGCACCGAGGTGCCCTTGCAGTGGCTGCGCTCAGAGCTGCCCTACGTGCTGGAGATGGTGGCTGAACTGGCTGGACAGCAGGACCCTAGGCTAGGTGCCTTCTCCTGCCAGGAGGCCCAGAAAGCCTGGTTGGATCGTCATGGCAACCTCGACGAAGCTGTGGAAGAGTGTGTGAGAGTCCGGCGCAGGAAGGTACCAGCTGCGCTGGAAGTGGGATAGGGTTGAAGGTGTGGGTCAGAGCCTCTCATATTATCTCCTTTGCTTGCTTTTCCCCTCTTTATTCCTCCTCTCCACTCCCACCTCTCAGGTGCAGGAGCTCCGATCCCTGGGCTTTGGGCCTGAGGAGGGGTCTCTTCAGGCATTGTTCCAACACGGGGGCGACGTGACACGGGCCCTGACTGAGCTACAGCGTCAACGCTTAGAGCCCTTCCATCAGCGCCTCTGGGACAGTGGCCCGGAGCCCACCCCTTCATGGGACAGTTCAGATAAGCAGGTGCTGGGAGGAGGTGAAGAGACACATGGAGGGGGAGAGGGAAGGCTGAAGGATAGGAGCCTTGGGTCTGACAGCCACTTCTTCCCTTTCCACCTGAATGATATTGCAGAGCCTGGTCAGACGACTTTTGGCAGTCTACACACTCCCTAGCTGGGGCCGCGCAGAGCTGGCGCTGTCGCTGCTGCAGGAGACACCCAGGAACTACGAATTAGGGGATGTGGTAGAAGCTGTGAGGCAGAGCCAGGATCGGGCCTTTCTGCGCCGCTTGCTTGCCCAGGAATGTGCAGTGTGTGGTTGGACCCTGCCCCGCAACCGGGTAAGCCTGTCACACCGAACCTGGCCTCAGAATGACTCTTATTCCCGTTAGACCCCACACTCTACTCCAGCCTGTCTCTGATCATCTTTTGCTCTAAAGTTCCCCATATAGCCCTTGGAGGCTTCTGGGAAAGGGAGGGCAAAAATAGGCTGTTTTTTTTAACCCTCATTTTTTTTTTTTAATGTTTTATTATGGAAAATTTCAAACATACAATGGTAGAGAAAATTGTATCACAGATTTTCTTTTCTTTTTTTTTAATTTAATATACTTTATTGATTTTTTTACAGAGAGGAAGAGAGAAGGATAGAGAGTTAGAAACATCGACGTGAGAGAATCATCTATCAGTTGCCTCTTGCACACCCCCTACTGAGGATGTGCCCGAACCAAGGTATATGCCCTTGACTGGAATCGAACCCGGGTCCTTTCAGTCCACAGGCTGAAGCTCTATCCATTGAGCCAAACTGGTTTCGGCTATATCACAGATTTTATTCTCCACTCTCCACCATATATCCATCACTAGGCTTCAGCAATTATAAGTGTATGGCCAATGTTTATTTCACCTCCACACACACAGGATTATTTTGAAGCAAATCTCAGGCATCATATGGTTTATCTGCTAATATTTCAGTATGTATCTCTAAAATATAAAATGCTTTGAAAACATAGTCACAAATACCATGTCACGTCCAAAAGTTAACAGTAATCCTTTGATATCATCATCAAATATCCATTTTGGCCCTGACCTGTTTTTCTCAGTGGTTAGAGCATCGGCCTACAAACCTAGGGGTCACAGGTCTGATTCCCAGTCAGGTCAAGGGCACATACCAGTCAAAGGCACAGACCTTGTACCTTGTACCTCAGTTATAGGTTCCCTACTAGAGGCATTTGTGGGAGACAACCAATCAATGTGTCCCTCACGATGATGTTTCTCTCTCTCTCTCTTTCTCTTTCCTTCTCTCTCCCTCTCCTTCTGTCCCTCCGTCTTTTCTCCCTTCCACTCTCTCTAGAAATCAATAATATTCTTGGGCCAAAACCAATTTGGCTCAGTGAATAGAGCCTTGGCCTGTGGACTGAAAGGTCCCAGGTTCCATTCCGATCAAGGGCATGTACCTTGGTTGCCGGCACATTCCCAGTAGGAGGTGTGCAAGAGGCAGCTGATAGATGTTTCTCTCTCATCGATGTTTCTAACTCTCTATCCCTCTCCCTGTCTGTAAAAAATCAATAAAATATATATATTTTAAAATAATAAAAAAAATATCCGCCGGGACCGGTTTGGCTCAATGGATAGAGCGTCGGCTTGGGGACTGAAGGATCCCGGGTTTGATTCCGGTCAAGGGCATGTACCTTGGTTGCGGGCATATCCCCAGTAGGGGGTGTGCAAGAGGCAGCTGATCGATGATTCTCTCTCATCGATGTTTCTAACTCTCTCTCTCTCTCCCTTCCTCTCTGTATAAAATCAATAAGATATATTTTTAAAAAAATATATCCTTGGGTAAGGATTAAAAAAACAATTATATATATATAAAAGCTAACATGCTAAGCGTCCATTGGGAAATGATGTTATGTAGCGATGCCCGGCTTCTCCCTAGGAACGGCTTCCTCTCCCTAGTGAAGACCAGCCTCCTTGCAGTTTCTTCAGCCCAGGAACACGACTTGCTTTAAGCCAGGTGGAAACATTTCACACTGTAACCAAATGTCTGTGAAGAGTTTTCCCATGCCTCATCTCATTTGATCCTCACAGAAGTCCTGGAGTAGGTAGACAGGAGACTTGATGGAATCCTATTTTATTTTCATTAACCGGAAAATGGAGATTACAAAGTTTAGAAACTTGACCCGACTGAAAAGTAAGAAATGGTGGACCTTGAAAATGACTTCAGGTTGTCTCACTACACAGAATAAAATCAAACGCTGCTGCAGTTAAATGTTTTACCCTTTGTTCTCCCTGCGTGATCTACACTAATAATCTGCTTGTGTTGACATTTACTGCTGTGCTGCTGACAGTTACCTGAAAGAGAAGGTGGGGTGCTTCACTGGGCTGGAAAGAGTTTAACTAAATCAGAAAGCATGTCTAAGTTGACTTGCACATGCGTAATACATATAAAGCTCTCACTGGTGCCAATCGCACGCGTGTGTTTTTGATCTGTCATTGTTGATTGTGAATTTGTTTGACACTTCTATTATAGAGAAAGGGCGAATAGTGACATTAAAATATTTCTTCAAATTAATTTCCTTTCAATGTACACAAATCCATGCACCAGGCCATGAGTAATAAAATAAATTAACCGGAGTAACTTTAAAAAAAAATCCATTTTGTAGAAAAAGGCCCCTTCTCGTCTCCTGAGCCCCCACTTATTTTAGGTGAAAACTGGCAGTTTTTTAGTTTAAATACAGTCCAATTTAGTTAGGCTTACTCGGTATCTTTTTTGTTTTTACTCTATTTTTTTTTAAATATATTTTATTGATTTTGTATAGAGAGGAAGGGAGAGAGATAGAGAGTTAGAAACACCGATGAGAGTCATCGATCAGCTGCCTCTTGCACACCCCCTACTGGGGATATGCCCGCAACAAGGTACATGCCCTTGACCGGAATCGAACCCGGGACCTTTTAGTCTCCAAGCCGACGCTCTATCCATTGAGCCAAACCGGTCCCGGCTGTTTTTACTCTATTTTATTTATTTATTTTTAAATATGTTTTATTGAATTTTTACAGAGAGGAAGAGAGAGAGATAGAGAGTTAGAAACATCGATGAGAGGGGAACATAGACCAGCTGCCTCCTGCACATCCTACTGGGGATGTGCCAGCAACCAAGGTACATGCCCTTGGCCGGAATCGAACCTGGGACCTTTCAGTCCGCAGGCCAACTCTCTATCCACTGAGCCAAACTGGTTTCAGCTGTTTTTACTCTATTTTAAAATAATTGTGTGTATATAAAATAATTGTAGATTCACAGGAAGTTATAAAAATAGTACAGAATCCTTTGTGCTCTGTACTCACCTTAACCCCCCCATGATGACTTCTGTTATGATTATAGTACAGGATGAAGTCCAAGAAATAGACCTGTATACATTATTAGCTAGACTGCAGACCTAGTTTGTTTTTTCCATGGATGTGTGTGTGTGTGTGTGTGTGGTTCTATGTAGAGATTCATGTAACCACCAGCACAATTCAAGGTATAGGCTGTTGCATCACCACAAAGAAACTCCCTCATGCTGCCCTTTGGTAGTTGTATATATACAACTTCTTCCTTTTCTCGTCACCTGGCAATCGCTAGTCTATTCTCCGTCTCAGTCATTTTGTCATTTCAAGATTATTTGTGTGTTAGCTTTTTTAAAAATGTTTTTGTTAATTATCACTCAATAATATTTTTTCCATTGAATTTTTAGGGAGAATGGAAGGGAGGGGGAGAGACAGAGAGAGAAACATCAGTGTGAGAAAGAGAGACATCTATTGGTTGCTTCCTGCAGCACCCTGACCCAGGGCTGGGGACCAAGCCTGCAGCTGAGGTACATGCCCTTACTGGAATCAAACCTGGGACCTTTCAGTCCACTGAGACAAATCAGCTAGGGCTAGGGCTTTTTTATGTTTTTATTGACTTAGAGAAAAAGGAAGGGAGAGGGAGAGAGAAACATTGATGAGAGAAAAACATCGATCGACTGCCTCCTACATGCTCACGCTGGGAATTAGACTCCAAACCCAGGCATATGCCCTGACCTGGAATTGAACCGGCAACCTCTTTGTGCATGGGACGGGCTCAACCAACCTGAGTCACATGGTTGGACATGTGTGTTAGCTTTTAATTAATGTGACTGCCTTTAGAAGACATTGGTTAGTGTACCTTGGGTTTACCATGTCTGTTTTCCTCCACCTGACAGTCTTCGGGCATTTAGGTTGCCTGCCTGGCACTTATTGGCATATGAGGTTGCTACCCCTGCCCAGTTGTTAACTAGTGGCTTCTCAGTGAACACCTGGCTGCTTCCCCTTCCCCAGGCTGGCCACTATGGCTTCTGACCCCTTTCTCTCCCTGCTCACCCTAGATGCAGGCCCTGACTTCTTGTGAATGCACCATCTGTCCTGACTGCTTCCGCCAGCACTTCACCATCGCCTTGAAGGAGAAGCATATCACTGACATGGTGTGCCCTGCCTGTGGCCGCCCTGACCTTTCCGATGACACACAGTTGCTCAGCTACTTCTCTACTCTTGACATCCAGGTACTGCAGATTCTGGGACTCAGGGTGCCCTGAGCTCTGAATAGGAGCCTTGCCCACCCACCACTTCTCATTCTGTCCCCAGCTTCGAGAGAGCCTGGAGCCGGATGCCTATGCCCTGTTCCATAAGAAGCTGACTGAGGCTGTGCTCATGCGGGACCCCAAGTTCTTGTGGTGTGCCCAGGCAAGTGGCCTGCCTAGCAGAGCTGGCTGGAGGGTCAGGGGTGGTGCCAAGTCAGGCCTCAGATAGCTTTATGCTCTTGCACCCACAGTGCTCCTTTGGCTTCATATACGAGCGTGAGCAGCTGGAGGCAACCTGTCCCCAGTGTCGCCAGACCTTCTGTGTACGCTGTAAGCGCCAGGTGAGGCACATCCATCCTTCCAGAAATACTTACTGAACTGCTGGAGGTACTCTGTTAGAGTCAGGGGATCCTGGAGAATAGAACAGACTCGAGCTCTGGGCCCAGAGTGCTCACAGACCGGGAGGGAGGGAGGGTGAGAGAAGAAAGAAGGATGAGGGAGATAGAAGAAGCAGCCTGAGGAGGGGGAAGGATGAAAGGGGAGGAAAGATGAAGGAGGGAGGAGGGGTGAGAGGTAAGGTAAAGGAGGAAGGGTGGCAGTGAGGAAGGGAAGGAAAGAAAATGGAGGGAGGGCCAGAACCGGTTTGGCTCAATGGATAGAGCGTCGGCCTGCAGACTGAGAGGTCCCAGGTTCGATTCCGGTCAAGGGCATGTACCTTGGTTGCGGACACATCCCCAGTAGGGGGTGTGCAGAAGGCAGCTGATCGATGTTTTCTCTCTCATCAATATTTCTAACTCTCTATCCCTCTCTCTTCCTCTCTGTGAAAAATCAATAAAATATATTAAAAAAAAAGAAAGAAAGAAAATGGAGGGAGGAAGAGCATAATTATACAAGGGCATAAGTTCTATGAAGAAAACAAACAGGAATCTGAGATTAGGAAAAATGGAATGGGCCTACTTAGGATAGAGAAGTCAAGTCTACTCTAAAATGGTGTAATTTAAGCTCAGGCCTGAAAATGAAGAGGAAGTTAACCATGCAAAGATTTCCTAACCATGGGAAGGCCAAAGTCAGAAGAAAGTGTGTGGTTGGAGCCTCCAGAGCAGGGGAGAGAGGCAGGCAGTCGGAGAGGAGCGAGCAGCCAGAGAGGAGAGGCCTGGGACCAAGTGAGGAAGGTATTTGCTTTTCATCCTGAGGCCAAGCCAGGGTGATACGAGTTCATTTACCATTAGTTCATCAACTAATATTTGATACCAAAAAATTGCATCTATATTATGAGACAAAATAAAATAAGCCCCTAAGCTCTGACTGCATAGTTTGGTTGTTTGGTTGCTTGCTTGGTTGGAGTGTCATCCTGATACGCCAAGGTTGTAGGTTTGATCCCTGGTCAGGGCACATGCAAGAGTCAGCCAGTGACCGCATAAATAAGTAGAACAACAAATCAGTATTTCTCTCTTCCTTCCTTTCTCTCAAAAATAAATTAATAAATAATTTAAAACAAAACAAAAAACCTTGAGATCCTTCCACCAAACCTCAAAACTAGGACACTCCTAATTCTGTTAAAGCTGCCTGACTTACACTGTCTTGCCCCCCCCCCCCCCCCCCAAGAGTTTAGAGACAGTCTTTGGATATTTTATTGATTTTTCTTTTTTTAATGTATTTTTATTGATTTCAGAGAGGAAGGTAGAGGGAGAGAGAGAAACATCAATGATGAGGGGGGTGGGGAAATCATTGATAGGCTGCCCCCTACATGCCCCTCACTGGGGATCAAGCCCGCAACTCAGGTATGTGCCCTTAACCTGAATTGAGCCTGCCACCCTTCAGTTCACAAGCGAAAGATCTATCCACTGAGCCAAACCAGACTTAGACTTTCAAAGGCATTTTGACTGCAAGGTTGAAGATGAACTATAGGGAAGTCTTGAGTGGAGGCAGAGAAACAAGTAACCGAGGCAAGTCATTGAGACAAGACGGGACCTGGCCAGAGGAAGATGGTCACAGCAGGGATGAAGAGGAAGGTCAGGGTTGTGAATAGACATAGTTACAATGTGAGCTTGGCTTGGGTGTTGGAAACAAGACTTGCTGGTGGATCTGTGGTGGTATGAGGACATGCAGGCACCAAGGCTGTCCCCTCAGTTTGGGATTAGAGCAAATGGTGAATGGCTGTGCCATAAACTAAGCCCGGACACCGGATATGAGTAGAAGGGCCAGCAAGAAGGGCCTCGGAGCTCCCAGGTGACTCTTGGTTTCCTTCTCGCAGTGGGAGGAGCAGCACCGGGGCCGGAGCTGTGAAGATTTCCAGAGCTGGAAACGCAACAACGACCCAGAATACCAGGCCCAGGGCCTGGCGATGTACCTTCAGGAAAATGGCATTGGTAAGGCTGCCCCACTAGCCCTGTTTGCCCCGTAATCTATCGTTGCCAGTGGCTCTCTTCCTGAAAGCCTTGAGGAGCAGTAGCAGCCCTAGCCCTGACCTGCTGTCCCTTGCAGACTGCCCCAAGTGCAAGTTCTCATATGCACTGGCCCGAGGAGGCTGCATGCACTTTCACTGCACCCAGTGCCGCCATCAGTTCTGCAGCGGATGCTACAATACCTTTTACGCCAAGAATGTGAGCCTAGAGAATGGGGATGGAAGGGATAAGAAGGTAGGGGGCTGCCAATGGGTATGATGGGTAGAGGCCACTGAGGAGCAGCCCAGGGGAAGAGAAGAGGAGGCTGGTGGGTGTAAGTTACCTCTCTCTGTTCCCTTTCCCTTCTGCTTGCTCCAGACCCTCCAGTGTCTCCACCTACCCCTACGCCTATATCCCTCGTGCAGGGGTTCCTGAGAGGCCAGGACCCCAAACAGTCTCCAACTTCCCCTCTCCTATCTGGGTTTCCACCAGAAATGTCCAGACCCTAACTGCAGAGTGAAAAAGTCCCTGCACGGACACCATCCCCGAGACTGCCTCTTCTACCTGCGGGACTGGAGTGCTCTCCGGCTCCAGAAGCTGCTACAGGTGAGGGGTGGCCAACCGGGCAGGGTTTGCATGTTGCCCAGGAGAGGGGCAGGGCCTAGGATCCAGTGGGCTGGCATCGGGATAACCTAACACCCTCCGTCTGTTCCTTCTCAGGACAATAAGGTCATGTTCAACACAGAGCCCCCAGCGGGGGCCCGGGCGGTCCCTGGAGGTGAGTGTCGGGAGAAGCCTGGCAGAAGGGGAGAGGGTGGCTGGGCGCACACAGGGCAGTGAGTAAAGGGGGAGCGTCAGCTTCTGAGCTGAAGACTCATCCTGGGCTGACTTTATGCTCGTTGGCGAGTTAACCGCCCCAAGCCTTGATTCTTCTCTGTAAAATGGGGGTAATACTCACTTTCCATCTCGGCTATTTTACATGAGGCCACATTAAAGCACCTCGATACTAATTTCTTCTCCCATTCCCAAAGGGTAATGATTCATCAGTTCAGTGGGCATTTACTGAGACCTGCTAGTTGCACTGTCTTAGGTTCCATGAGGGCATCAGAAAGATGTCACATGTGGTTCTGATATACCCTACTTCTTACCGTCTACACAGAGGAAGGCCTTCACAGAATAAGTTAACTATGCAAGAGCTAATTCACAAAAGAACTGTCTCAGGGAGTGTATGATTACAGGCTAAAAGGCAGCTTGGATAAAAGCAGGGCAATAAGGTACCTGCTTCTATATCAGAGCTGGTCTGCCATGATGGCATCTCTAAGTACCGTACCCCCACCACCACCGCTGTTTGAGCAGAGGCTCCTGTCCCCCAGCCCCTCCCTGGAGGCTGCCTCCCTTGCGTCCGTCCCCTTCTCCTAAGTCTTGGTTGTCAGTGGCCTTTCCCCAACAAAGGGTCTTTTTTCTGCCCTTACCCGTAGGTGGCTGCCGAGTGATGGAGCAGAAGGAGGTTCCTAATGGGCTCCGGGACGAAGCTTGTGGCAAGGAGACGCCAGCTGGCTATGCGGGCCTCTGCCAGTAAGTGCCAGGCTGGGAGCATGATGTTGGGGAGCAGTGAGGGTGTGCCCAGGCAGTGACGTGGGTCTCTGGGAGCAATAGGTCCTGCAAGGAGTAGGAGGGAGGGGCTCTCTGGACAAGGGCCTGGATAGGTAGCAGCAAGCAGTGTGCTCAGGTTGGCGTGCATACACCGGTGAAGGTTGTCAATCTTATTCATCCAAGTATGCCAGTGTCCCGCAGGGTGCTGGGCACACTCAGTTAATATTAGTCGAACAAGAACAAATATTCCACCCTCTAATCCCCTCAGGGCACACTACAAAGAGTATCTTGTAAGCCTCATCAATGCCCACTCACTGGACCCAGCCACTCTGTATGAGGTGGAGGAGCTGGAGACAGCTGTTGAGCGCTACCTGCACGTGCGCCCGCAGCCACTGGCTGGGGAGGACGCCCCTGCCTACCACGCCCGCTTGTTACAGGTGAAGCTTCCCCCACAGCCTCACCTCTGACCCTGTGTCTGAAAGTCCCCAGTCCAGTCTGTGCCAGCTCCAGGCCTCCAGGATTATTGTCATCATCGTCATCTATCTCTCTCTGCAGAAGCTGATGGAAGAGATACCCTTGGGACAGAGTATACCCCGCAGGAGGAAGTAGCTGAGGGCGAGGGTCCTGATGAGGGTCCCACGCCCTCAGGAACGGCTCCAGCACCAATAAAGAGGCATCTCCTTGCCCAGGCTTCTTGGTGGTCCTTCTTCCTGACCCCACTATCTGGGGGCACCTGGGAAAAAGGGGGGTGAACAGAGCTTTGCTGAAAGGGCCCCTACAGCCCACCGCGTGATCTTCCCTGGACCCAGGACCAGAAAGGAATTGATACCATGGCTGACAAAGGGAGGTCCTCCCTGTGCAACCGCTTGGCCTGAGCTGATTTCCTCCATCCCTGCTTCTCTTCCTTTCATTCAATTCAGCTGATACTTGAGATCACCTAATAGGTACTAAGCAGGCACCGTCAGGGAACATAGATGCTTAGGTGGTACAGAGCTTTCCAGATGCCCCGAGAACAGACCAGCACACCGCGACCTCCCTGGGGAAGCAGCAGTGTCACAGAACTGGACACAAGCTAGGAGTAGCTGAGGGAGGAAGAAGGAGCCTGCACTCTGATGGCTCTTCCTGAATCTGAGATTTTTTAGGTGCTGCTCCCCCTGGTGGCCATTCATTGCTCTGCAACTCAGGCCACGTGATTTCAGGGAAACGGACCTCCCAGGAGTAGAACTGAAACTTAGGGAGGGGACTGTAGAAACAGGGCGGAGTTAACAGGAAGCTTCCTAGCCTGGAGCTGAGCTGAGGTCCTGAGGCCTGGGACAGCCTGCACAGCCGCTCAGGTAAGATCAACCGAGAATTGGTGGTAGCCTGGGTATATAGCTGGGAGGCCCAATCACGTTAGAGGAGGGAAAGGCTTCCTGGGGGACCCCCTCTGCTAGACTGGGATGGACTGAAGGCCTGTGAGCCAGGAAGCAGGAGGTTGGCCTGAGTGAGAGACTGACCTGATCAGGGTCTGTGTCCCAAGCTCTACAGGCAAAGGCCCAGAGGACCTGCTGCTGGGTTCAGGGAAGGAGGCTTTGTTCCCGGGGCACTAGGGTCTGTTTGCTTGCCTTCTGGCCCCGCCTACTTGTACTCTGGCTCCGCCCCGGGCCCCCTCTCCCTGCCCCACCGGGGGAGCAGTGGGGTGTGGTGGGGTCATAGTATAGGTGAGGATGGTGGTAAAGAGTTGGTGTGGTATCTCTGAAGCAGATACTGCCTCTGCAAAGTTTTAGGGATCTAGACTGAGCCTCTCACCAGGAACAGAACACCAAGGAAATTCTCTCTTCAAGCAGTAGATTCCTGAAAAGTGCGTTTTTTAAAAAATAATATATTTTATTGATTTTTTACAGAGAGGAAGAGAGAGAGATAGAGAGTTAGAAACATCGATGAGGGAGAATTATCCATTAGCTGCCTCTTGCACACCCCCTACTGGGGATGTGCCCGCAACCAAGGTACATGCCCTTGACCAGAATCAAACCCGGGACCTTTCAGTCCTCTGACTGATGCTCTATCCACTAGAGCCAAACCGGTTTCTGCACGTAAAGTGCTTTTTAAAAAAATATTGATTTTAGAGAAAGAGGAAAGGAGAGAAACATCAATTTGTTGTACAACTTATTTATGCATTCATTGGTTGATTGTTGTATGTGTCCTGACAGGATCGAACCTGCAACTTGAGTGTATAGTGACTATGCTCTAACCATCTGAGCTACCCAGCCAGGGCAGATTCCTGAATAGTCTTAAAATTAAGACCAGTACCTAAGGTTTCCTTCCAGACCTCACAGCTTGGGGTGTTAAAAAAAAAAAAAAAAGGCATAATTTTTGGTAATTGCCAGTAATGGCAGAAACAAAGCTATTTGACCTCAGAGTGTTTTGAGCTAGAGAAAAAGATGGATGGGCTCTTTGGGGGCCCTTGCCAGAATACAACCCAGATGGCCACGACTTCAGCCAGTGTTTCCTCCCAAACAGTTGGTTGGTTACTGATGCTGCCTGCTGCTCTTGTTCCCAGGATGGCATCGGGCCGGGCACGCTGCACCCGGAAGCTCCGGAACTGGGTGGTGGAGCAAGTGGAGAGTGGGCAGTTTCCAGGGGTGTGCTGGGAGGATGAAGCTAAGACGATGTTCCGGATTCCCTGGAAGCATGCTGGCAAGCAGGACTTCCGCGAGGACCAGGATGCTGCCTTCTTCAAGGTGAATGGGCCTCCAAGTGAGGGATGGAGTGGACACTGATGCCCAAGGGCTGTGCCTGCCTGCGTGTCAGATAGAGGAGAGAGTACATGACTGTCAGAGCCCAGTGCAAGATGAAAATGCAAAAACAACTAAGGAATTCCAAGTGGCAACAACTGAGCCTACACCAGCACAGGCCTTTCTGTGCAGCTGCTCAGGTTGCACGTCCATGAAGCTGGCTCTGCTGGCGTGTTAGCTGCGGTCTGTAACCTGCTGCCTCTTTGTACTTTGTCTGTTTCCTAGGCCTGGGCAATATTTAAGGGAAAGTACAAGGAGGGAGACACAGAAGGCCCCGCCATCTGGAAGACTCGTCTACGCTGTGCTCTCAACAAGAGCCCTGAATTTGAGGAGGTTCCTGAGAACAGCCATAGAGATGGGGCTGAGCCCTACAAGGTGTATCGGCTGCTGCCAGCAGGAGCCCTCCCTGGTGAGTGTCCCCTAGAAAGAAGCAGAGTAGGGTGGAAGGATGGAGATGAGCTCCTGGGAGGGTGGTGGGACTCCCTCCAGCCCTTCAGTCCGAGTTCTCCCTTGTCCCTATCCTCAGAGAGCTGCCACTCTGGTAACCTGGTTCCCCTGCTCAGTCTTGCCCATCCTTTCTGCTCCTAGCTCTCCCCTATCCTCTGTCCGCACTTAAGGCTCTGACCTCTCTCTCCCCCTCAACAACATTTCACAGCTTCGGCAGCAGTACAGAAGTTACCCCCAAAGAGACACTACAGCTCGGTGTCCCCTGAGAGGAAGGAGGAGGAGGGTGCCACAAAGAACTGTATACTCAGTCCTGCCTTGCTTCAGGAGCCCCTCAAATGCGTAAGAGCTGGAGAGGGACCCGGTGGGCCTGAGGGCATGACAGCCTTGGGGGAAAGGGGCCGACCGTAGATCCCATGTTTGCAGGAGAAGGTGGAGGCCAATGGAGCAGCGGGCCATTCAGACTCTGGGTGCTGCAGCAGCAGCAGCAACAGCAACAGTCCTGAGCCTCAGGAAGGTACCACCTCGTGCCTCTCCTCATCCCCCACGCCACACCCTCTGGCCCTTGGACTCCAGTCCCACTCTGAAATGAGCGCCTCTTCTCCCTTCCAGGTGCAGACACAAATGAGGCCCCTTTCCAAGGAGATCCGGGGTCTCTGGAGCTTCTGCCCCCTCCAGACTCAGGTACTTAGCACGTCTAACTATCTCTGCTCACGGTCGCCACAGGCCACCTTCCTGTGGCTGTACGTGCATTACCTAATGTCAGGCTTGGCCTCACCTTACCCAGACAGGCGCCGGTTTCTAGGCAATGTACCTGGCCAGCTACAGACTCCAAAACAAATTTTTGCATTTTCATCTTGCACTGGGCTCTGACAGTCATGTAGATGGTTCAGTCATCTACTCTCCCCTTCTCAGAAATAGCCCCTATCCCTGGAAATCCACTTTGAGACATTGATTTCTATAGAAAGACTAAATCTCTGGGACTTCCTTGTAAACTCTAAGACCCTGAGCATTAAGCCTTGAGGCCCCAGTGGGAATCTGATCATTGGCTACTCTCCCAAGTGATAGGAAGGCCTGACAGGAAGCCCCTTGCTGGTGAGGCTAAAGGGCATGAGGATGAGGTGACGGTGCCTTCTCTAAGCTCGGAAGGTGTAGCTGCTGTCCCCACTCCACAGCCTGCCTTGTCCTCCCCAGCCCTTGCCTGGTTTCCTGTCCGGGGCTCATGCTTTTCAGCAGCAAAACGAGGACATTGGATCTGCAGGAGCCCCTCTTTGTTTCCCCGGAGCCCAGGCTGACCGGGCGAATGCACCCGTGGGGAGAGGCAGTGGTGCAGCAGGTCGCTTTCTGTCCACAGACTACTCCCTGAAGCTCACCTTCATCTACAACGGGCACGTGGTGGGTGAGGCCCAGGTGCAGAGCCTGGACTGCCGCCTCGTCGCTGAGCTCTCCAGCTCCCAGTGCAGCATGCAGCAAGTGGTGTTTCCCAAGCCCGGCCCACAAGGACCCACCCAACGCCTGCTGAGCCAGCTCGAGAGAGGTGTCCTGGTGGCTAGCAACTCCAGAGGCCTCTTTGTTCAGCGCCTTTGCCCCATCCCCATCTCCTACAGCGCGCCCCAGTTCCCACCGGGTCCAGGCCCACATATGCTGCCCAGCAACGAGTGTGTGGAGCTCTTCAGAACCGCCCACTTCTGCAGAGGTGAGGTTGCTGCAGCCCAGCTCCTGACCTCCCCCCATGAGCCCTCCCCCTTGCACTTCCTCCAGCAGATCAGCCGTCACAGTCCATGGGTGGCCCCTGCACTTGCTGGGTGCACATCCTGTAAGGCCCCGTGCTCAGCCATAGCAGCTGCCTGGCAGCCTTCCTTCCGTCGTCCATGCTCAGCGATGAGGCTCAGGCGGAGCCCAGCACAAGAGCATCACAGCTCAGAGGGCACCGTCACATCCGGGGAAGGTGCACCGTGAGGCCCTCTCCTACACACACACTGGCACACACGCCCGTACGTCCAGAAGAGCTGACACGTATCACACACCCAGGCCCTACCACACGCCAGGCATCCCCTCAAATTGTCCCTTTCCCATGCATTTCTTGCCTCCGTTCAACTCTAAATCTGGCCTTGGAAGTGGGGCCAGGAGTACAGGGACACAAGCATGAGTGTTTCCTGGGCCATGGGTGCCTTGGCCCAGCAAGATGGTATGAGCAGCCAGGGCTGCTGCTGAGAGCTCTCTCAGCAGCGAACATGTCAGATTGTGTAGAGTCAGCTACCGCTAAGTACTTCCTCCTGGAGGAAGGAGTACTTTTTCCTTTCTGCACATGGGTGAGTATCATTTAGTTCCTGGCATTTCTCCTGTAGCTCCTATTCTGGCCTTCATCTCCAAGTGGCCCCACAGCCTCTTTCTCTCCATTATGGGTTCCTCCCCGTTCCCTCCCTCCCTGCCTATGGCCCTCGCCCTTCTCTTTGTATTCTTCCAGCTCTTGACCTTCTCTCTTTCAGACTTGGAGAGGTACTTCAGGGGCCTGGGCCCCCCACCCGAGTTCCAGGTGACACTGAATTTCTTGGAGGACGACCCTGACCCCAGCTACACCCCACACAGTCCTATCTCAGTTCAGGTGAGTCCCGGGCAGGGTGACAATAGCTGCCTGTGTAGGGAGGAGGTCCAGGAGAAGGGCCCCGGGGTGGGCAGGGGGAGTGGCCGCCCTGCTGTGTTCGTGATGCCCTCTTCCCACCTCTTCCGGCACAGATGGAGCAGGCCTTTGCTCGGCATTTACTGGCAGAGCGTCCGGAGGACCAGACAGCCGCTCTGACCCTGGTGCAGAGCCTGGAAGACCTACCTTCCTCCTCCCTGCTCTGTTCTTCCTATTTTCTCTGAAAGAGACTCATTCTGCACACTGTGGACCTGCCTTCCTCGGTGATCATTCCTAGTGGTTGTCCGTGATGGTTACATCCTTCAGCTACTCATGGTGCCTGGCTGGTTTTTAGCCGTTTTATGTTTGTTTGTTTTAATTTTTGAGATATACCCTCTTTTATCTCTGAGGAACTGAACTGGGAAAGTCCAAATAGTATGAACTGAGGGGGACCATTTCCTCTTCCCCAACCCTAAAGCCAAGCACTTTATACTTTCTTTTTAAGTCTTCACTAAGGGTTTAAAATAAAATTTTATTGAAAAAGGAATCCGGATCTGATTTATTTGGAGGATAAGGTCGCAGGGGTCACAGAGATAAGATGATGTAACCTAAGAGGAGGGCACTCGGCTTCCTTCCTGCGACATCCCCGGGCCCCTCTCCTCTCCTCCACCCACAGGGGGTCAGGGAAGCAGTCTGAGCTGCGGGTATGCGGTTTGGCTTTCGTACCTTTTATCCAGGATTAGGGTCAGCCCCCAAAAGGGACTCTGAGCGTATAGCCACTGTAGCACCCACTCTGCACGAGAACCTCCTAGCTCCATAGTTCTTCACGAGAGCCCTCTGATTTGGGCCTTACAACAGGCCTAGAGTTGGGCTCTACACTGGAGTTCTGAATGAACAGGAGAACTTGAAGTTGACCTGACACTGGCCTAAAGGCCTTGGGGCCTGCTGGGAGGGGAGATCAGAGGGAGGAGTTGCTGAACCTTCTGTGCGTAGGGCAGACCAGGCCCTGGTGCCTCTTCTCCCAGTACATGATGCACTGTCACCCCCACGATGGAAGGTACTCCCCAACTGGTTTCCTCACTCCACCTGGGTCCACATAAGGCAGCCTGGCCAAGATTGCTGTGTCACCGACACTGTTCACAGATTTAAGAGGCCCCTGACAATCCTTACTTGTTTTCCAAAGTGTGGTACGCGTACCCCCAGGGGTACAGGAAGAGTTTGGTGGGGATACGCACTGCACCGTGTTTAGCTGCGCCTAATTCTACGTTCTCATGAGTACGAGGGGTACTCAGCATTACAAAAATTATAGAAGGGGTACACATATGTCAAAAGTTTGGGAAACCCTGCTACCCCATGTTTATTTGCCATCAAACTGGACATTGTTTTCTTCACGAGGTCACTTGTCATCCTTCTTCCCTGTGTATAATCAATTCCAGCAGAACAGTTCAGACCTCAATCACTGCTTACTAATGGCCATGGCCTCCAGCACACGACACTAGATTAGAGGAGAAGGGGCCAGCAGACCAGATTCCTTCCTGTCATGTCACTCATAAGCCTTCAGTGGCTCATGTATCACCTATGTCAGTGGTCAGAAACTGTGGCTCTGCTGACTAATGACTTTGCGAACCACTGCCTTAGGGAAAAACATTTAAAAAACATTTTGATAATGTACTAATGTCTTTAACCTGAAGTCAAAACTTCTGGGTAAGAGGAATCCCTTATGCAGTGGTCGGAAAAACTCATTAGTCATCAGAGCAGCAAACTGCGGTTTGTGAGCTGCATGTGGCTCGAGAGCTGCAGTTTGCCGAACACTGGCCTACGTGATCAAATCTAAATATCTACAACCTTGAGGATCTTGCTGGTTCACTTGACAAACTTGAGGGCTGCTTTTGAGTTTTTCTACCTCCTCAGGCCTTCCTTCTCTTCCGTCTTTCCCATCCTCCTCCAGGCATTGAAGAAATCAGGTACTGAGTGCACGGGTGCACACGCCCTGTTGTGCCCTCAACTTGCTGAATTCTCTCCTGGACCTTTGTACCTGCTACCTCCCTGATTTCCATTTTATCTTATACCCCACATCCAATCCATCAGCAAGCCCTGACACTATTCCTTCAAAAGCTGCCCAGCTGCTGCTCTTTGCTTTCACCACCAACACTTGGGAACAAGTCACCATTATCTCATAACTTCTTCCGGTTTCTTTCCACATCTTCTTTCCTGCTTTTACTCTTGTCCACCCTCAGCCTGTTCTCCACACAAAAGTCTGGTTATATTACTCCTCTGTTCCACATCCTCCCTCAGCTCTCAACTCAGGTTAAAAACCATGGCCTCCACAGTCCTTGTGATGTGGCCGCTCTCCTCTCTAACCTCACCCCTCGCCATGCTTCCACCTCAGTCACTTTGCTCCAGGTGACTGAGCAAACACACCAAACACACTTCTGCCCCTGGACCTTTACACTTGCTGGCCCTTTTGTCTAAAATACTCTTCCTTCAGGTAGGACTTGCCTCCTCTCTTCCCTGAGCACCCACCTATGTAGCACTCTGTATTCTCATATGCTGTCCATTCTTCTTCATAGTACTGACCTCTTCACATATTTCTATATGTCAGCTTACCTAGCTTCTCTCCTTCCTTATTCTTTGAGAACGGGAACTTGTTCCGTTCATTGCTATATTCCCAGTGCCTAAAGGAGCACCTGGCACATTGTAGGCTCTTGTGCCCAACCAGCATGGCTCAGAGGTTGAGCATCAACCTATGAACCAGGAGGAAGTCATGGTTTGATTTTTGGTCAGGGCACATGCCTGGGCTGTGGGCTCAGTCCCCAGTGGGGTCATATAGGAGGCAGCCAATCAATGATGTTCTCTCATCATTGATGTTTCTCTCTCTCTTCTTCTCCCTTCTTCTCCTTAGGTCAATAAAAATATACTATCTAATAAAGAGGGAATATGCTAACTGAGCCTCACACCGGAACAGATAGAGGTACTCACAGCCAATAAGGGATATGCTAATTGACTGCCCTGCTCTCAAAGATGGTGGCACCCACAGCCACAATATGGCGGCACCAAGTACCCTCAGCCCTGCTGGAGCAGCAGATGCACAGCAAGGAGGTGGGCCCGGCCACACCGTGTGCCTGCCTCTGGAGTCCTCCAATCTCCTTAGCCCCCAGGCGCCCAGAGCCAGCCCAAGGCACAGGCAAGCCTCAAATGTCAGCTGCCCAGCTGCTCAGGGCCAGCCTGAGGGGCATGCAAGCCTTGGATGGCAGCTGCCTAGCCCCCCAGGGCTGCCTGAGGCTCAGGTAATCAAGACTGGCCGAAGTTGCACTGTCAACAGTGGTAGCAGCAGAGGTGTGATGGGGCATCACCTCCCACCCTGAGGGCTTCCAGACTGTGATAGGGGGCAGGACAGGCTGAGAGATCCCACTCCCACCCCCCCGCCCCCAGTGCATGAATTTTCATATACCAAGCCTCTAGTAAAAAATTAAATATAGAGAGACATTCAAGATGGCTTCCCAGGTAAACACCTAGCCACAGCCGCACACAACAATTTCAATAAAATACAACTAAAATATAAAATGGACATTACCCAGAACTACAGGAAAGTCAACTGACTGGAAATTCTACAACAAGAAGCAAGGAGAAAACCAGAAGGAAGCGCGGAGGAGCTGTAAAAGCCTAAGGTACGGAGACACGCGGTGCGCGGAGAGGACAGAGCCGGAAAGGAGGGCGGCTGAGTGCCTGGCGGGCGTTCCCTAGCAGGAAGGAGATAAAAGCTCCGACTGTGCTGGGCCCCAGTTCTGACTGCTCTGGACCCCAGTTCTAGGCCAGACCCTGGAGACCCAGGCTCAAACAGAGGGAACTGGGCTGCAAGGCAGAACCCCAGGGAAGCAGCGAAAGGAGGTCCTGGAGGCGCACATTGCACGCAGAGAAGGGACGGTCGGCTGTGCCGCGGGATTGCCCTGGCGGGAAGGAGACAGGGCCCCAGACTGCTCTGAACGCCATCTCCAATCCCACTTTCAACTGAACTGAACTCCAATATCGGGCTCATTGGGGGAGACCCTAGACTGTTTGGTAGCATGCGAAAATCGAGGGCACCTTTCTCTCTGAGGCGCTTGCAACGAGTACTGAAGGACCCTAGTGATTATTGAGACCCAGGATCTGCATAGGGCGGGGCTGGCAGAAGCCAAGGCTGTAGACTTCACCTTGAAACTCCACCCCATCTGTAGCTGTGAAGTGCGACAACAAAAAAATCACAAACGAAAGAAATGGAGGACAAAAAGCAACTGGATATAGAGTTCAAATCTACGCTTATAAGGTTTTTCAAGAATTTCCTAGAAAAGATCGATAAGAACTATGAGGATATGAAAAGAGATCAACTAGAATTAATAAGGAATCAACAAGAAATGATAAGGGATCAACAAGAAATAAAGAATACATTGTCTGAAATAAAAAATATTATACAGAGTCCTAAAAACAGAATGAAAGATCGCAAGAATCAAGTCAAAGATTTGGAACATAAAGAGCCAGAAGACACCCCTCCACAGAAGCTAGAAGGCAAGAGAATCCAGAAAATTGAAGATAATGTAAGAAACCTCTGGGACAACTTCAAGCAAACCAACATCAGAATTATGGGGGTCCCAGAAGATGAGAGAGAGCAAGATATCAAAACCATACTGAAAGAAATAGTGACAGAAAACTTCCCCCACCTGGTGAAAGAATTAGACTTACAAGTTCAGGAAGCGCACAGAACTCCAAACAAAAGGAATCCAAAGAGGACCATACCAAGACAAATCATAATTAAAATTCCAAGAGCAAAAGACAAAGAGAGAATATTAAAAGTAGCAAGAGCAAAGAAGGTAGTTACCTATAAAGGAGCACTTATACGATTGTCAGCTGATTTCTCAACAGAAACCATGCAGGCCAGACGGGAATGGCAAGAAATATTCAAGGTGATAAATAGTAAGAACCTACAGCCAAAGATAATCTATCCAGCAAAGCTATCACTCCGAATCAAAGGTCAGATAAAGAGCTTCACCAATAAAAAAAAATGCTAAAGGAGTTCATCATCACCAAACCAGAATTATATGAATTGCTGAAGGGGGTTCTTTCAGAAGAGAAAGTAAATAAAGATAAAAATTTTGAACAACAAATACGTAACTATCAACAAGTGAATCTAAAAACCAAGGAAATTAAAAAAAAAATCTGAATCCAAGATGGCTGCTCGGGTAGACATCTAACTGCGGCAGCACACAACAAT